GAAGAGAAGAGAAGAGAAGAGAAGAAGTAGGGCCAAAAAATAGACATAATTTCATAATTATAATTTCAAAAAAAAAGTTCCATAATCAATTTAATTCCAAAATCCTACCATTATCTCATTCCTTCTTTTTTTCCCATTTCATCTACACTTCCTAAATCACTGCTGGGGAAGTTGGCTGATCTTATAGAAATAATCCTCTAGATTTTAATGTGGGGAAACCCAGTCCAGAGAAAGACAGTGAGATGCCCAAAGGTCCCAGCTGTTAGCACCTGGGTCAGACTTCCTCCCATCCACCGGTTTGTCCCCTATAAGCTGCCACTGATCCCCCATGCCCTTGCCGAGGTCCCTCCCCCAGGCTCCTCCCTGATAGACAGGTGGAACCAGGGCCTGTCCCAACCACAACACCACTGCCCACGCACACTGGTCATAGCCATCTGGCCCCCTCTAGAGAGACCAGGTAGCAGGATCCTGTGCTATCCTGGGAAGGGTGCAGGTCAGAGCCAAGGGAGCGTGGCTCAAACTCCAGCCCAGCACCTGTCTTCTTATCTCTGAGCTTCTGGATACCATAGAAGTCTCGGGGGTGGGTGCCAAGGGGGTGCAAGCCCAGACTTGGCAAAGAAAGGAAGAGAAGGAAGAGACCTCGGCTTGACTGGTGGAGCTGGGGTGAAGTTGGAGGCCCAGGGTAGGTGGGGTTCCTCCAGGAGGAACCTGGGAGGTGGTAGGGGTTTTCAAAACTGCCTGTCCTTCACTGCCCAGACTGAGCCCTCTCTGGGCCTGGTCCCACTCCCAGGTTCCATGAGCCCCTCTGCACCCTCCTCCTCAGTCCTGCAGACTCACACACTGTCACAAACAGAAGCATTGCCCATGAGGAGATGCCTCTGAAGACCATGGGCAGGGCCCTCAGGGAGGGGGGCATGGAGGCAGGGCCTGTGGGGGCCTGGTAGCAGGGGCGGTGGCTGGAGGCAGGAGGCACCCGACTCAGGTCCCAGGCTTGCCCAGAGGGCTCTCCAGACTGGAGGATCCCCCCGCATGCCTGAGCAGTGACTCACTGCCATCCCCACCCTAGAGAGTCACCTGTTCCCCCACAACCTGGCATTGAGGCGCAAGCCTCATGAGCCCAGAATCCACCTTCACTCAGAGTGGTGATGGAGGAATGGATGAGCTCCATGTACAGCAAACCCCGAAGTCCTCTCCCACCGCCTCTGACAGGAAGGGGTCCTAGAGCCCCAGCCCAGGGAACACCTTGTCCAGAAGTTTCCCCTCTTCAACCCACTTCATGCCCACACCCTGTGCTCTGTACACTCCTGGGAACCAGTCAGACCCGGGCTTCCAGGTGGCTGGTGCCAGCTCGCCCTGCCCAGCCTGTGGCTGCACGCCCAGCTTTGTGCCCACCTTCACCTATCTAGCCATAGGGACATCCTTCAGCCTACCTTTCCTCCCACTAATTCTGGGACAGTCCCAGAGTGGACCTTGTCAGAGATGCGCCAGAGCCCAGGGAGGCCGGACTGGGGCAGTGGCGGGGGCGGAGCAGGCCTACCTGTCCAGCTGCAGTCGCAGAGGTGACGAGCTCTGGCGGATCTTGCTCTGAGCCTCGGCATGAAGCATGCCCTCTGCACTCTCCCCATTGATGGCCACAATGATGTCACCAGGCCGGAGGTCAGCAGCCTCAGCCTTGCCCCGCTCATTTACCTGCAAGGAGGAGGACCAGTGAGCCTCGGGGGTCCCCATGCTGGGACACGCAGGGAGGGTGCCCAAGCAACATGGCTAAGCCACTGATCCCCTTCTCTGGCCACCACATCTGTAAACTAACCCTCTGGTCCCCTCCCGAAGCCTCAGAGGCCACTCCCACCTCCGCCTGGCAGGGTAAGGGAGGCCGCCCACGGAATGCATGATGGCAGGCTTTCAGGTCTTGAGATGGGAAATACTTTTGGATAGAGAGTCCTGCCCATGCAAATCACACCTTGCCAGGGTTGCCTGTACACTGCCCTCCAAATGTGCCCTGGCCCAGGCCACATAGAGGACTCTGCCTGGGACTCCCAGGGGCTCCCTGCTGTGACCACCCAAGATGGCTACTGGCAGGTGTGCAGCTAGTGACCCAGGAGGAAAGGTAGGCTGTCCTGGGCCTATTCCCTCCACTTCCTAGAAGGCCGTTCCTGAAGTGTCTGCCACACTCTACTTAGCAGGTCCTAAGGGTAATGGGGTAATGCATACCCATTAGCACTGCCAACCACAGGCCTCAGGCTGCATAACCAAACCAGAATGGCACTCAGGGGACCCGGGTGGTCAGAACAGGCCTGACTTTCAGGGTAACACCTGCTATGTTGGAACTGGCCCTTACCTTGGTCACCATAATGGGTGTGTGGAAATCCCTGCCCCCAGTGATGCGGAAGCCCCAGGGCGCCGGCCCCACCACATCCACTGTCAGCACCATACCTGAGGAAGAGAGGGTCAGGAGGAGGACTGTGTCCACCTACCCAGAGGCAAAAGAGGAACGCGAGTGATAGGTCCCAGAGCAGCCTGGCAGGGCTGGGGTGTGCAGGGTAGGTAGAGGAAGTGATTAAGTCCCGCCCTCCCAACCCCTGAGTTTCACTTCCCCCCACGCTGGAGAGCCATGACGAGCTCCCAGGCCCCCAGAGCTTCAGCTGGGCAGGCAGCTGTCCCAGTATGGATGGGAACCTGCTGGAGATGGGTGGGCAGGAGTGCCAAATGGAGGCAGGCACCCACACTTCCGCCCTGTCACCTCCTCGGCCAGAAGGGCTGCGCACACATCTTTCTGGTGTTTGCTTCCTGTCCCCAAAACTGACAGCACAAGGTACTTCCTCCCCACACTGGGGGAGGCAGGCGGGTGGCCTGGGCCGGCAGACTCTACCATGGGAGGGATGGCAGGAATGGAGCTTGGTACGCAAAAAGCTGGCCATCCTGGGGGCTGGCTGGGGTCAGGCCAAAGTCTTCAGAGGGGCCTGCTGGCTAGTGCCCAACCCTGATAATGCAGTTCAGATGAACACCCCAGGTCCCAGCGCCCAGCTCCCCAGGGCCTGCTGCCCCCTGAACAGCCTGGGCCTCCTCTGCCAAGCTGAGCACAACCACCCCTGGCACCGACCTTCAGGGTGAGCTGCCTGATGCTGCCTGCCAGCTTCTACTGCCCCCTCTGCTGGGCATGGGAGTGTCCATGCAGACCAGGCCCTTGTGGGACTTCCTGAGCTTGGAGGTCTGGAGCCAGGAGCCAACCCTGGCAGGAAGCTGCAATGCCAGGCTGGGCACCACCCAGCCCAGCACCCATCCCGAGGAGATCCAGAAACCTCACTTAGGTCTGGAGAGAGCGCTGCCCAGTCTCTCAAGAACATCAGGGAGGGAGGGGACTCTCAGGCCAGGGGGTCTGCCTGTCCCACCCCAGCCAGATGGCTTCCCCTTTTGCTCAGGCCTGGCCATTGTCCCTTCTCAGGTCCCCAAGCCTGGCACTGCAGACCCAGTAGCCCTGAGATGTCCCAGACCTTTGAGCTGGCCGATGGACTCTGGGCTGCAGGCAGGCGCGTGGGGAGGAGCCCAGCCCTGTCAGCCCGGCTCTCCCGGTTCTGGAGCCTTTTTAGCTCCGAGGCCAATGTAGCTCCGTGGACCGGACCCGGGCCAGGGATGGGAAAGTCCAGGACACGGGGCCGCGGCCCACAGCTGCGGGGAGTCGGGAGGGAAGCGGCTGTCAGGGCCCACTGGGCGCAGGGGCGCAGTGGGCGCGCGCTCACCTGGCTCCGCTCACCTGTCGCGCTGGGCAGCCGGGGCGGGAGCGGGTCGAGGAGCGAGCCAGGAAGGGACGGCGAGGACCGCCGCGCCGCCGCCGCCGTCTACCCGACTCTTGGGAGAGCGCGCCGGGGCCCCGGGACCTGCTCCGCCCATGTGATTGGGGGCCGCCCCTGCCGCGCCCCTGGCCCGGGAAGCCACCTCCTCCGCGCCTCCGGGTCCCGCGCTGCCACCTGGCCCCTCGCGGAGACAGTGACAGGAGAGGAGCCCGTGTCTCACGCGCGCCCGGAGCGCAGAGCTACCGCTCAAGGGTCAGAGCCCCGCCCCGGCCCCTCCCAGACTCTCCTGGCCGGCCGGGCGCATCGAGCACCGGGCTTCCAAGGGTCCCTGATCTCCGTGCCCTGGTTCCTGCCCGGCAGGGCGGGCAGGGTCGGTCAGCGGTCCGTTGGATTCCTCTACTCACGCCGGTGTGGTCTTACACCCACAAATTCCAAACTAGCGGGTCCCTCCTCCCCCCATCCCTTCCCGGACTCCAGCCGGCCCGCCTGCAGCAGCCTTCCAGCTCCCTATTGGAGTTGCCCGCGAGCAATTCTTCTGTAGGCCCAGCGGCCATCAGGGTTGGGAGGAGGTAAAGGGTGATGCCTGCTCCAGGTCATCCTGCCGGGAGTCACATTGGAAGAAGTCCCGACCAGCTACCACCTGTGGCCCAGCCGCCCTTTCCCAACCACCTGGTACTCAGGCTCCGGGCTCTGGGATGCATGCAGGACAACCAGGCAGGGGCCCAGGGGTTCCCCAAAGTCATAGCTGGCAACCCTCACCCTGGGGAGCTCCTGGCCCAGGCAGCTGCCTTCTTCCTCTCCTGACTTGGCACTCCGGGGCACTCATCTGCAGACACAGCTGTAACCTACCTACCTGGCTCAGGTGTGAGTCATCATCCCTGGCGAGGTCCCCGGGGAGGAGTGCCCTCGGCGCCCTGCTCACTGCTTCTGCACCTCCTCCTCCCCACACCTGTGGCCACTGCCTCTGCTGGTCACCTCCCTGCCCACCTCTTGTAGCCTTGGTCCTGGGAATGTAAACCACTCTGCACTCTCTCAGGGACTAATCCAAGCCTCCTGATAGCCACTTTGCCCGATGCAGCTGCTCTACTGCCTTGTTTTGGGGGGCATGGGGTACTGGGAATGGAGCAAGGACCTCGTGCACGCTAAGCACATGCTCTGTGCCCCTGCCCTTGGAAGTCCCTTGAGGGAGTAGGAAGCCACAGGGAGCGCAAATCAGGCTTAGAGATGCACAGGCCTCGACAAATGCCACCTCTGCCTCTCACCGTGTGACCCTGGGCAATTTCCTCAGCTTCTCTGGGCCTCGGTTTTCCCATGCAGCAGTGTGTAGCTACCCTCCTATTGTACACATCACTCTGGCATAAGCAAAGTCCAAGGATCGTAGAAGTGTGAAAGCAGTATCGGCCACAACTGAGGGCGATTGGGAGACCCCTGCTCATCCATTCAGTCACTGCAACAATGTGCATTCTACAAATGTTTATGTTTTTATTTCCTTTTTGTTTTTGAGACAGGGTCTCCATGTTCAGTTCAGTTTAGCCTCGAACTCATTCTGTAGTCCAGGCTGGTCTCAAACTCATGGTGATCCTCCTGCCTCAGCCTCTAGACACAAATATTATTTTTATTTAATTTTTTGAGGCAGGGTCTCTCTGCGTAGTCCAAGCTGACCTCAGACTTTCGATTCTTCTACTTCAGCCTTCTCAGGGCTGGGATTACAGCACCATACAGACTTCACAAATATTCATGGACTGCCCACTGTGTGTCAGAAACTGCTGGGCAGTCCTCAGAGGGACCCTCCTCCCACGTGCCTTATACAGGCCCTGTTAGCATGTCCAGGTCCATCCTCAGGGTTTGGATTTACCCAACCCTCCACAAAGGTAGATCAGCTGACCCAGGTCATCTGTCTCTGTGACATGGAAGGGACCTGTCCCTCCCTAAATGACTGTGCCTCAGGGTGAGCCATCCTCAGGGGGCCTTGAACCTCTCTTCTCCTGCCCCTCAATCAGACCAAGGCCCAACCATGGCACGGATGGGTTTGGCAGATGGCCCCAGGTGAAAGGTTTGCTGCATGAAAAGCTCCAGGGCCCTGTGAGAACCAGGGTGTGGGCTGGGCTTCTGCCCATGGAACAGCAGCCCCAGCCCTGAAATGTTTTATGTGGAAGGAACTAGGGTAGAAGATCATGACAGGCCAGTGGGTCCTGAGAAGCGGTCATTTCCAGCAAGGATGGCCCGGACCTTCCACTGTAGAGCCAGGCAACAGTGTGCAGGGTGGAGCGGATGAAGCAGGGCACGTAGGTCTTGCTCTGCAAGCTTCTGTTCGGCCTCCTCAGAAGCCAGGGCGCACCTAGGCTCAAAGAACCCATTGGGGCCAGGCCACCACCCTGTGGGCTAGGCCCTCCCTCCATCCTGATAGGACTGCCACTGCACTGCTGCCCTTCATGGCAGCCACTGGCTCTCCCACCTGCCTGGGGCAGTGGCACTCTATGTGACAGGTGGACAAGACTAGAGTCTCAGGAGGAACATGAGAGCACCCAGCCCTGGGCCACCCGGACGGCCTGGCCTTCACAGACCTCTCTAGTCTGAACAAGCACTGTGTGGCATTGGGCAGAGCACATACAGGCAGAACCAAGCTCAGCACTGAATAACTCTGTGACACAGATGCTGAATCTCTCAGGCCTCACTCTTTCTGTCAAATAGAACCCTAAGCAGCTGGTCACAATGCCTGCATTAGGGAACATGTGTGCTGCCTTACTCTCTGCCCAACTCTCCACAACAGCCCAGGTGGAAGGGCAGCCAGCCCCACCTGCCCCATTGCAGGGGTCCCCCAGAAGCTATCAGACTATGGCTCTAAAATTTCAGGGGAGCAGAGCTGTCTTGGCTAGCTGGCCCCTGCCACTCCCAGCCTGCTGCCATTGATTGTTCAAAAACTTGAGCCCAGAGAAGAAAATAAACAAGCACGCCGGCTTCAGTGTGGAAACACAGTGCACAGAAGGAAAACATTAGCAGCAGAATAGTTAGAAATGTTGTCTTGTCTGGTGACCCCACGGTGGCAGCTCCCAAACAGCCTGCAAACAAGGGACAGAGGGGTTGTGAGATGGCTCAGTAGAACAGGCACTTGCCTGGCAAGTACAAGGGCCTGAGTTCAATCCCCAGTTCTGTCCGCCCCACAAACAAACAAGGGACAGAGCTCTGTCCCACAGCTCTAGGTTTTTGCTGGCCCTGTGATGTCTACTCAGCACTTCTGGTCTGACAGAGACCTGTCCTGGGGCTGCCCCACTGGGCCTGCACCCAAGGGATGAGATCTTAGAGACTGCCATGCGGGCTTTCCAGCCTCCCCTCGTAGGCAACCCGTCTGACCTGACTGGTGCAGCCCACAGTGCCAGCCGGAGGAAAGGGACTCCAGGGACAGGCTCTGATACACAGGTTTATTTTCTGTTGTCCAGAGGAGCAGGGATACTCGGGGAGATCTGGGTGGCTGGGACAGCAAACCATGCCCTTGTGAACCCTCTGGAACAGGCTGGTGGCTGCTGGGAAGCGGCGGCCCTGGAGGCTATGAAGATGTCACTTCTGTCTCCACCGGCTCCCAGCCACTGCTGGAGGACAGAAGGCAAGCAGGAGGCCCCTCCAGGCTCTGGCAGCCTTCAGTCTCCATCAGGTCAGGAGGCTGGTCCTAGTTAGAGGAACCCCGCGGGGGTAAGCTGGATCTGTCCCCAGCAGAGGGACCGAGTGCACTGTGGAGGGCAGGACAAGGGGCCAGGGTCTGCTCTCAATAAGGCCTGAAACAGTCTCCACTTCAAAGCAGACCTCTGTATTTGGGGAGGGGAGAAGGCAGAGGGTCTGTCAGATGCCTGTGAGCTGCGGGTGGGAATCAGTCCAGGGGGCTCCAAGGGGCTCCGCTAGGAGGCTGCTGGAGTCTTTGCACATGGGGGCAGCGAAGGTCTTGGGGGAGGAGGATGTGGGGGCCTTACTCTCCAGGTGCTAGGGCTCCCCACCCCACCCCATCCTGGCTGGCTCCACGTTGCCATGGAGACCATTCACACAGGGGCGACATAATTTCCAGGAAACGTCCCAAATTTCTGGGTCCTTCGGGAGACACCTGAAAGAAGACAAGAAAGCGCTTTTGCCACACTGCCTGAACCACGAATAGGGGTTCGCCGCCGCCGCCTGCTGGCCCGGTCCAGAACTGCAGTTGGGGCCTGGTTCCCGGGAGGGGAGGTTTGATTTGCTTTTCTCAGCCCTGCCCCCTGGTGACAGCAGCTGAGCTAGGCAAAGCTCGGCTTCCCAAATTCCAAAATCAAATGAGAGGCACAGCAAAACTGCACAGAGCACTAAGTCACCTCATCCTCCACCTTTTTTTCTTTTTTTTTTTTTGCCACACCGGTGATTGAACTCAGGACCTCGCCCTTGCCAGGCAGACGTTTATTCTACTGAGCTATCTCCTTTTTTGATACGGCTTTGTACTGAGGTTCAGTCTGGCCATGAACCATATGTACCAAGCAAAGGCTGACCTGAAACTCAAAGCTGTCTGCCTGCCTCAGCCTACTGAGTGCTGGGATTTCAGGCATGCACCACCACACCCACATCTCCACCCTTCTTTATGAAAGCCAGAGAGCAGAAAGATGAATCACAGAACTTTTGCCAGCAGCAACCTCACTGGGCTAGCATGGCAGCCTCATTCCAGAGAAGGGTGGGTGAGACCCACAAGAAGGCCAGGTGAGCAGCCCAGAGCCACTGATGGCAGGGGCAGAGCGGGGACTGCGGACAGAGCCCTGTCTGCGGCAGTCACAAGGAGCTCGGCGTCCTGGGAGCAGGCCGAGAGGCTGGGAGGGCAGAAAGAAGTGAGCCTGGGGCGCTGGTGCTCCGGCCTCCTCCCAGGCTGCCATGCTGACGTCCGCCTTCAGAGGCCCTGGCCCATGCCGAGCCCCACCTAGAGGGCATCCCTAAGTCCTTCCCCTGCCCATCTGGGCCTAGTGCCCACTTCCTCCAGGAAGCTGCCCTGCCCTGCCCTGCCCTACCCGGTCCACACTGGAAAGCACCTGCCATGTATGCAGCAGGCGCTAGAAACATGTGAGTGTGACGAAGGGCTCGAACTCTGTATTTTCCTTCATTTTAATCTGTGTACATCTGAGCAGCTCCCGAGGCCAGCAGCTACCACTCTTGTGGGTGCAGATGCCTCTGAGGACCCAGGGAGTGTACCCCAAGATTTGCAAACCTTTAGCAGCAGCATAAAAAAACTCAAAAGCAAAGGTATACAGAGTAAAACAGAATGTGTCCCTCACCCTAGAAGTAAGGACTATGAACAAGTTATTGTTTAATAATTACTTGTGTGGCTAGCTATGGTAGCACTTGCTGAAATACTGGCATTAGGGAGGCTGAGGCAGGAGGACTGTCACAAGTTCAAGGCCAGCCTGGGCTACATACCAAGACCTTGTCTCAAGAAACAAAAATCACTTGTGTATTAGAAATGTGGTTGGCACTGAAGTATTGGGATTTAGACCAAAAGGGCAAGGTGCCACATCAAGGGTGTCTCTGTAGCCATCCCTGCCCAGGTACCCCCTAACTCTTTGGGCCCTACGGTCTGCTTGTTGAGAGGTGGAGCTTCTGGATGCTTCCATCTTGGCCCACTCTGTGAAGCTGAGGCCTGAACAGGCTCCCCTGCTGGGATAACAGCCACGTGGAGCCTGGCAGGGGTCACCCTGGGCAAGGCAGGAGCCCACCTGAGGCTTCCTGTGTTAGTCCTGTGTCAGGGATGCCCTGGGCCTGGAACTCTTGTGATTCCCTCCTCTTGCATGCTAGAGGCAGGGCACACACGGGTGTGGGTCTATGTCCTTCCCTCCAGAAGCCCTGCCCTGAGATGCAGCAGAGGCTCTCCTGGAACCCTGGGCCAGGCCCTCTGCAGGGCATGCAACAATAGGTAACGAAAGACTGGGCTTGGGGGAGCAGCCAGGGCCAGGTGGGAAGCCAGGTGAGCGTGGCCAGGCTGGCAAGGCGGAGGCAGCCCACTCAAGGGCCCCTGGGATGCCCTTCCAGCCCATCCCACCCCGCCGAAGCCCACATACCCACAAACCAGCCATCGTCACACTGCTGCATGACATCCACCCGGTCCCCCGCATGAAGCTCAAGCTCATCCTCGTTCTGCGGTCTGTACTGGTACATGGCGCGGTACCTGCAGGGGACACAGCATAGCCAGAATTCCCTTTGCCCCTCTCCCACCCTGGGCCAGACGTTCAGGCTCAACCACGAACTGCCACTTCCTGTGAATGCGATCGGGTCCCCCCAGTGCACTCCTCTCTGCACCTAAATCCCTCAGGTCAGTGGTGGTGCAGCAAGATGCTTGTATCATAAAAGGTTCCCCATCAGTGCTCTAGAAGACCCGCAAGGACAAGGGCCACTTAGGAGGCATTTCCAAGCCCAAGGTGGGGCCAGGGGCTCAGCACTGCCCACAGTGACCCACCCCAGAACAAGTGCCCTTGGGTGGTAACTCACGGGGTCCAGTGGATCTGCGTGGTGTTGGGCGAGGAGGTGTCCGTGGGATGGCTGGGGCCTGGAGGATGTGACACAGCTGGTCCAGGAGTGTTGAGACTCTGGAGGGTCACAGGAGGAAAAGAGGGTCACCCAGAAGCAGGGTGGGGCAGAAGAGAACGAGGCACCCCCCCCCCATTTTCGTGCATCCTACACACTGGCCAGGTCCTGTCTCACAAATCCTCAGGGGTCTGCTCGGATGTTTTCCCTTTCATGGGTTGGAGCGTAAGCAACTGACTCTCCCCCTGCTGCCCGCGGTGCTGGGGAGTGAACCCAGGGCCTTTCACTGAGCTACATCTCCAGCTGCCTTTTTGAGACAAGGTCTAAGTTGTCCAGGTAGACCTCCAAATTTTGATCATTCTGCCTCGGCCTCCTAAGTGGTAGGTGACAGGTGTCCAGCACTGTGCCCAGCTACATAACTGGACTTCTGAGTGCCAGCATGGACAACACTGGGCATCTCAGGTGCTGCACACAGGGTGACAGAGTGGCTGGCATCTGGAAGGCCACCATGTCTGGGCTAGCCTTGGGCTCCCACCTAAGCAGGCTGGCTTAAGTCCGGGGTTCCCAAGGCCAGCCAGGTTCTGCCCGTCCCCCCCCTCTACTCCCAGTGGGCACTAGCCCTGGGGTGGGACACGGCCACCTCACCTGCGCCTGGGACCTGGGCTCCGAGAGGCCAGAGCGGCGGGGCGAGGTGCGGCCCGCCCAGTCAGCTGGGTCAGTCGGGCTGCGAGGGGCCAGGCAGGCAGTAGGAGCCAGGCGGGGGGACGCGGGCAGCTGGGGGCCATCATCGCAGACTCGGAGCCGGGGCTCCCTGTACACCTGCACATAGCTGGCGGGGAAGATGCCCTGGCGCCCTGTGCCCGTGATGCGTCCCTCATACCAGTTGTCGTTCACCTTGCGGATCAGGCAAATGCGCTCCCCCTGCGGGCAGGGAAGGGTCAGTGTGTCTGTCCTTCCCCGTCCTCCTGGTCCAGACTCCAGTCACAGGGGAGCCAGGGGCTAATCACACAGACACAAGCCAGGCTCTGCTCAGTCCCGCACGTGGCTGTGGGCAAGCTGCTGGTCCTCTCTGAGCTCCTCTCCTCCCATGCCAAGTTTGCCCGGAGGTGCAGGCTAGGTATACAGCAGACTCGGGAAAGCAGCGCCAGCCAGATGTGGGCACCACTGCAGGACACAGGCCAGCGCCTGTCCCCCAGTGGGGACAGCCTGTCATGAATGTGACAAAGCCAGCGTGCCCAGGGAAAGGGGAGCCCTCCAGCCCCCAGCTGACTGCTGTCAGGGGCAGACCCCCTGCCCCTGCAGGGGGCTTCCTCTGCCCTGTCCACCCTGTCCAACCACTTGCTTCCCTCTCTGTCACCTGGGCTGGGTCCTCTGGGTGGCTCTCACTAGTGGCATTCAAGGACTCGGCCACAGAAAAAAACCTAAGGAGACCAGTGACCAGTTCCTTACTTTCCAGGGCAGCACTTTTCAAAATATCATCAATCTATAGTAAATAAAGAAGTCTGCCAGGAATGTAGCTCAGTGGCACAGTGCCTGCCTGGCAAGTGTGAGGTCCTGAGTTCGATTTCCAGTATCAAAATAAACAAAGTGAATTCCAAAAATGCTCCGTCAGCAGCTGCAGCCCTCACAGACATCTGCCTAGAGTCTGACAAGGTAGCCCCTTCTTGTGGGCCTCTACCCTGAGTTATATCCCCAGCCTTTTTCTTATTTATTTATTTATTTAGTTTTGGCCAGGCTAGGCTCCAACTTGCTTTTTTTTTTTTTGGGGGGGGGGTTAAACTCAAGCCCTTGTGCTTGCCAGGCAAGTGCTTATTCTACCGGGCCATCTCCCTGGCTCTTAGGTGTCAACCTGCAGTCCTCCTGCCTCAGCCTCCCAGAAGGCTGAGATTTGCGGCTATGCCACCAAACGGGGCTCCTCTTTCTTATAGCTTTTTACTCCAGTGCTGGGGATCAAACGCAGGGCCCTGTGCATGCTAGTCAAGCACCCTGTCACTATTATAACCCAGCCCAATGAGGTACCCTCTCTACATAGAACACAGTCTAACAATTTTATCTATTCCTGTAAAAACACAAAGCATGATCCTCACAGCCTACCAACATACCGCTTAAAAACAAAACTCTGGAGAACAGTAACAATCTAAAAATAGACTAGACTACAGGGGACATACTCCAAGGCACTGGGGAGAAATCTGAAATGCTGCCCACAGGTGTACAGACCTGACTTTATTTATTTATTTATTTATTTATTTATTTATTTATTGTTTTTTTGGGATAGTTTCATGATGCAGTTCATTCACTGTGTAGCCCAGACTGGCCTCGAACTCACAGTGATCCTCCTGCCTCAGCCTCCCGAGTGCTGGCATTACAGGCATATGCTGCCATGCCCAGCCTACCTGACTCTTTAAAAAAGTTTTTTTTTTTCAGCTCCTTCCCCATGTCCTTCCCTGTGCCCACCCCACCTAACACTCCCCAGCCACCTTTCGGAAGGACAGCTCCACCTCCAGGTCCCCCTTAAAGGTGTACTGGGCCACTGCGTCTCCATACTCCACCACTTGGTAGGTGGGGGGCTTGATGGGCTTGGGGACCTCATCTGCGGGCAGCACCTGCAGGAAGGCACGAGACAGCTGTGGTGCTGGCACCTGCCCAGCACACCTGGGCCTCCCTGGAGGGGCCGAGGTGGGGCAGGGGGGCCCTGGCCAAAGGGAAGACATCAACTTGAACACTGAACGAGACACAGCCTGGTGGTGGGCAAAACCAAGGGGGCTGTGTTGCAGAGTCCAAGAAGCCTTCCTAGCGAGGCGTGGGGGCACACACTGGTGACCCCAGCACTTGGGAGGCTGAGGCAGGAGGACTGCAATGAGTTCCAGGCCAGCCAGTGAATTCAAGACTAGCCTGAACCACATAGTGAGACCCTATCTCCAAAAACCAAAAAGGAAAAGGAGGTCCAGGATGAGAGGAGGAGGAGGCAAAGTAGCGGTAGCTTCCCGGAGGAAGAACCTCGGAGAGGTACTAGAGCAGGCACTGGTGGGGCAGGGAAAGTCAAGTGCAGAGGCGGAAGCTCATCCTACTGAAGAAAGCATGGGCCAGCAGCAGGAAGTAGGGGCTGAGTCACAGGGAGGGCCTGAGGACCTGTGCGAGGCCAAAGACTTCACCTTTCCCCACAGCCGAACCCAGTGCCCTCGGCTCAGTGTCTCGGCTCCTCCCTTCTCTCCCACCCGGTGCCCAATCCCAGTGCTCTGTTTCACCCTGCTCACAAAAATGAAGAACCCAATCAACTATTTCACTAAGATATAAATAACTAGCTGGGTGTGGTGATGTACACCTGTATCCCTGCACTTGGGAGGCTGAGGCAGGAGTATCGACTCGAGCTCTAGGCCAGCCTGAACCAGACAGCAAAGCCCTGTCTCATAAAGCACAACAAAATAAAATAAACAAAATAAACAGAACAGGATATAAATAACTGATGGAGTAGATTCTTGTATACTGTGAGGCTGCAGCATCAGACAGATTCATCTGTTAGCAAGGGAGGCTTCAGATGCCTATGATATCAAGAGCCTGAATTAAATAACAGCCTGACCCATGGGTCAGAAAGGAAGGGACAGAGGAAGTGAGATAATTCAAGGGAAATGAAAAAAAATCAACACTTGGGAGATATAGCTAAAGCAGGGTACAGAGCTAAACTTAAAGCATCAATTCGTCATTAGGAAAAAAGCTTTAGATCAATAACCTAAACATGCACTCTAAGAAGCCAGAACAGAAAGGAGAAATTGAATCTCAAGTAAGCCAAAGGGAGGATATGATAAAGAGGCAGAAATCAACAACAACAATGGACCATGGGCCAAGTCCAGCTCCCCAAGCAACAGAATCATTATGCACCACAAACAGGCACTAATAATTTTTTTTAAAAATTGAAACAATAGACCTCAAGCCAGAATGTACATTGCTAATATAAAAAATGAAAAACAGATCACATTTTACAGACACTACCAGGACATTTAGCCAGGTGTTGTGGATGATAGCCACTGCCTAGAATCCTAGCACTCGAGGAGGCTGAGGCAGGAGCACCACGAGTTTGAGCCCTGCTTGGACACCTTATCAACTTAGACAGAACTTGCCTCAAAATTAAAAATCAAGAGGAGCCAGAGATGTAATTTTGTGCCCCCATGCTTGTACTGGATGCACAAGGCCCAGGTTTCAGTCCCCAGTGCCCCTAAAAAAGTTAGGGGTGTAATCAAGGACTACCATGAGCAACTTTACACTAATAACACTTATTTTTTTTTTCCTACATTACTGGGGATTAAACCTAGGGCCTTTGCAGTATGCTATATCCCCTGCCCTTTTTTTAATTTTTTGAGACAAGGTCTTGTTTAATTGTCCAGGCTGGGCTAGAACTTGAAATCTTCCGCCTCAGCCTTCCGGAGGTGCTCAGATTACAGGCATGTGCCACTACATTGTTAGAGACATAAATGCTAAAGATAACCTATGCTAGTCTAGGCTTCCATCACGCTAGAACTCATCTCTCTGGAATGCAGAGATCTGCATTATTTAGTAATACCTCACTGAAATTCTGAAATGCATCTGTAAAATGGGGACAATCTATTCCTCCCAGGCAGGGGGAAGAACAGAGGAGGTTAACACACCTGAACTACTGTATTTTCATATGATTTCTAAATCGTCAAATACTTCGAATGCTTGCTAGTTATGATTAGGATTACTTACTTCCAAGGACAGCTTTATTTCATGTTATTTTTTTATTTTTGGTGTTTTGAGACAGATGTAATCTCCCTATGTAGTCCACACAGGCCTTGAACTCCTATGTAGCCCAAGGTAGTCTTGAACTTTTGGTGATCCACCTGCCTCAGCCTCCAGAGTGCTGGGATCATACACCTGGCTCAAGGCCAGCTTTAGAAAGATGGATTCCGAATGGGAAGAGTGTGGGATGGGGTGGTGGGTTCCAGATCAGGATCTAGGCCCCAGGGTCCTCTCCTGGGCTGGGCTCTACCCACATTCATCAGCCTAGGCTTATGCTGAGCAGCAGCCTAGGCCTGCAGGGGCAAAGCCACTCAGGAGAGGCGGCACCCGCCCCTCAAGGAGGCACTGCACCCTAAGGCTCTCACCGTGGAGAGCAGCCCTGCCTGGCTCCTGCCGACGCCCACGGTGCCCTCACCTCCACATAATTAGCAGGGAAGATGCCCAGCCGGCCATGGTGCTCCCCCTCCAGCCAGTTCTTGTCCACCTCCTTGTGGATGTACACGATGTCGCCCTTCTGCAGACTCAGCTCCCTGCAGGCCGCAGCCCAGGGCACAGCGCGCTGAGGTCTCCCAACAACCCTCCCTGCAGCAGTCCTGCCCACTGAACCCAAATGCCCCCAGCCCCACTGGGGTGCCCATTGGAGCCCTGGCCCCCACCCACACCCAGGCACAGAGACTGCCCAGGGCTGAAGGGGACGCCTTGACAGGGCCGCTTACTTGGGGGACTGTGCCTGGAAGTCAAACTTGAGTCTGGCAGCCTTCCTCTGGGCAGGGGAGAGGGCAAAGGGGTCTTCTCAGTTGGGCAGGGGCTATGGCCCAGCCACCCCACCCCCTGACCCCAGGACTGCCTGTACCTTCTTCTCTTCCTTCCTGGCCGGGCTGCTGCCCCTCTCAGGCACACTGGGGTCTGAGGAGAAACACTTTTCAGTGTGGGCAGGCCCCTTGGGGGGGTGCACCCCTCAGGACAGGCCCAGGGAAGTAAGGGGCTGTGCCCTCCCTGTCCGCCTGGGGACACAAAGCGGATCTGGTCCTTACCACAGGCCGAGGACGGGTAGACAAAATCTCTACGACCTAGGAAGGGGCTTCCTCCTCCATCCGCCATTCTGTGGGGGCTCAGGGGTCGGGAGGACCCCAAGTAAGGTGCGTGCGGAGAGCTGGAGCCCCAAGCCTGGGCGGAGCTGCAGGAACGCAGGGACTGAGCCACCTGTCTAGGGCTTCAAGCCCACCCTCAACCCTCACAACTCCTAGGTCCTGGGCTCGCAGCAGGATGTCCGACTTCCCGAGCTTGGCTTGGCTGGGTCAGGAATGGGCAAGGCCAGGGCGGCAGAGGCCCGGGCAGGGAGGGGTGCGTGGGGCGGGGCGGGGCCCGTGTCCCCACCACCCAAGGGCTGGGGCCCCGCTGCCCGGCCTGTGGGTGCGGTTGCGGGGCGGCCCTGCGGCCTGGGATCCTCCCAAGACCCTCTCCACCTTTCGCCCTTCTGGCCCCTCCCCGCCCGCCCTCGGGTCCGTCCCAGCGCCACGTCCCCTCTTGCCCGGCTGCGTCCTGTCCCGCACTTACCGGGCCTGGGGCCGCTGCTCCGGGGCCCGTCTGGGCACCTGCGAGCTCTGTGCGGGAGAGACCGGGTGTGGTGAGGCCCTGACCGAGGCCACCTTCCCCCGGAAAAGTTCGCAGCCGGGCGGCAGGCGGAGGCGGGAGGGGCGGGCAGGACGCGGGGTCCTAGAGGCGCCCGCGGGAGGGGAAGGAGGAGAGGAGAGGGAGGGAAGGGGGAGAAGAAGGGGGCGGGGAAGGGAAGGAAGAGGAGGGGAAGGGAGGGGAGAAAGAGGAGGGGAACAAGATGGGTGAGGTCAGGATTGCCGGACAGAGCCAGGCCTGAGGTCAGGCTAAGGTGGAGTGGCCTGCGAGGGCTCCTAGGGTTCACTGGGAAAGTGGGCACCCCGTGTTTTGGAGAGAAGACAGGGATGACTTCACCCAAGGTCACTGCAGACTCCCAGGGCCCCACCCAGCCTGGCCCCACAGCCAGGGATTCCCTAGGTGGAGCCAGGGCACCTGGTACCTTGGGGGATGGCAAGCGAGTCTCAATGGCCCGCAGGTCCTTGTCCAGCTCTGCGCTCAGCTTGGCCAGTTCTCGCTCCAGCAGGACCTGGGGGTGGGGAGACATCAGGCAGCAAGAGGCATGCACTATGTGCAAGTGTGTGTGTGTGTGTGTGTGTGTGTGTGTGTGTGTGTGTGTACACGCATGCGCGTGTGTCAAAGACTGGGATTTAGGGCAGCTAGAAGCTCCAGGGCCCAGGACAGGCCCCCTGCCTGTGGGCCTAGGGGGCAGATGTCACTCCAGGAGTCAGGAGGACATTCCTGTCCCCTCTCCCCACCCTGTACTCCAGGTTCCTGCTCTGCCTTCTTACCAGTTTTGCTTCTCTGTCCCCTGGAGTAACTCTCGTACCTATGTACCTATGGAGCTGTTTCCTTGCTGTCTCCTCTGCAGTCTTTCTGGTACCAGCCAGGCTGCTGCCCCCATGCTGCCAATCCCAGAGGGCTGAGCATTGTGCATCACACATGCTCGCTCACTCTCTCTCTCTCTCTCTCTCTCTCTCTCTCTCTCACACACACACACACACACACACAGATGCACATGCAACCCTCCCACCAACTCCCTGGAGCTGATTCCAGTCTCCTCCCTCCCCATGTTGGTGACAGAACACAGGGGCTCCACCACTGAGCTACATGCCCAGTCCTTTTAAAAAAGTATTTTGAGACAGGTTTTCACAAGTTGCTCAAGCTGGGCTTGAACTTTTGTGTCCCTGCCTGAGCCTCCCTGGAGCAGCTGAGGCTGCAGGCTACACCACCCCGCCCAGCTGCCCTCTGGTCTGCATGACATCATGAGGCTACTTCCGGATAGCCCCGCTCCACACTGACTGCGCCCCACCCTACTCCTGCTGCGTGAAGCCTGTGTTCAGTATGTGTTTATCAAGTGCCTGTTGTACAGCAGGCACCGTCTGGGTGCTGGGCTGGCAGCGAACTTTATGGGCCTGGAGACAGAGTCTCTGGTCTGTGCACATGGTCACTGGGCCCCACACAACCCAGAATATCTCCCTCCCCCTCACCCCCAAACTGAATTTGAACTCACCTCGATGGGCTGTGAGGGCTTCTCAACAGTCTCATCCACCAATGGCTTCTTGGGCTGAAAGGTGGAACAGGGTGTCAGGGGGGACCCACTTCCCAAGTGCTTCAGCTGAGGGGTAGACCACTTCCAAAGCTCTGGGCTGACACGCACCTTCTGACCAGTCTCTAGTTCTTGCAGAAACTGGTTCCAGGAATCTTCTGTCCAGACATTGTCCACTTTCTCCCTGCGTCTGGGCACCTGCTCGGATGTGGGTGGTCATCGGCTTGAGGAGCAGGGTACTGGCTCACAAACCAGGCGCTCAGGCTCACCCTGCTCGCACCCATGCCCTCTATGGACCCTCTGCCAGACAGCAGATGGCTGGGCCCCGGTGGGAGCACACGGGGGCTACCTGATTTGGGCGCTGCACTCCCACGGAGACTGCCCCAGGAGCATAACTGAAGGTGCTTCTAGGTGGTTGTTGGCAGTGACCCCAGCTTCTCCTGTGGGACAGGAAGGATATCCTTTCAATTTTCTTTTAGGGAAACTAAGGAATAATGGAGGTCACAGCCCTGGGCAAAGGAGCCACACCCTTCTTCCACCCCGGCCCCTACCATGGAGGGGCATAGGCTGCCTTTGCCTGCCCCGGCCCCTTCCTGTATAAATGATACTAGATAATGGCCAGGGCTCAGAGCTCCACCACCTAGTGACAGTGCGACCTTGCACACCTTAGATGGTACCTCGGGCTCAATCCCTGGGAGACAGAGGGAATGTGAATTTGGTCCCCAGGAGAAGCCCTGACACAAACCAGCTTTACGGAGGGTGCTGGGCCTTTGGTAAAACCAGCTGCCATGGCTGGGTGGTCCCACCTTATGCCCCATCCTACTCCCTGGGCAGCCCTGCCTGGAGTCCTGGGCAAGTCACTTTTGCTCCCAGGGCCTTGTTTCCACGGCGGGTGGGTGGGGTGGGGAGAGGGCTGCATTCAGTGACCTCAGCTGTGTGACCACCCTAGCCACCAGCCACCATAGCACTAGTCTGACCCATCTACCCATCCCCCAGGCCTATCTTCTGGCTGGCTTTAATGTCCCAGTCTGTTTCTGGTTTGAAAGTCTACCAAGTAGAAGCACCACATCCAGCTTATCAAATGATGGAAGGTCTACATGGAGTGTCAGGCTCTGTGGGGTGCAGTTATGACTCTGCTCTGACTTTAGTGATAATAAAGCAATCATAAGCATGGAATGTGTCACTGATGATCTAAGGAGGCTGTGGTCCTCACTGAACCTGAGAATTGCTCATGTGGGAGCCTAGTTGCTGTGTGCCAGGCACGATACAGGGTGTCCCCATCTCTCAATACAGCCTCAGCGTCCCCCAAAGGACCTCACTCACGAGAGGGGCACGCCGAGACCCAGTGCAGCTAAAGGCAGTGCACTGGGTAGAACCCAACTCTGGGTCCAGGCTGGAGATGGCAATGATTAATCAGCAGACACAGGCCAGTCACGGACCTGCTAGTGAGCTGGCGAGTCCAAGCAGCCATGGATGGCTCTCACTCTGAGCATGAAGTTCCCAGCTGTCTCCCTTCACCTCATGCATTGTGGTTGCGTGCAGGCAGGCACAGAACCCATCCACACTTTTCTTTTTCCTCAAGTGTCAAAGCAGATGACCAGCTGCCCTCAACAGTTCTGTCCACAGGACCTTGACACTCCCCCTCCTTAAAGTGGCCCATGGATCTTTGAGAGGGGTTGGCTCCTCCTGATGGGCTACAGACTCTACAGACTGGGGCAGTCTTTCCTGGTCAGGAACAGCAGCCTTTCCCTTTTTGCTTTGGTGGATTAGAAGATCAGGTGGTGGAAACTTGGGGGACCAGAGGGAGCCTTGAGCCAGAAGCAGACCTCTGTGTGCGCCGTGGCCACGAGGGGGCGCAGGTCCCGCGAGGAGCACAGGGCCTGAGGCAGCCTCTGCCTTTGCTCACCTGCTGGAGGTCGTCGCTGCAGTGCCAGCACTGCGGGCAGATCTTTGGTGGGGCCCAGGATGCCTGGGCTCCGCAGAGGGGGCACAGGAGATCACTGTGGGTAGAAGACAGCCGGGGACAGGGTGTGGAGGGGACCGTTTATATTTCCAGTGTAACACCACTTTCACCCTAGCTCCTGAGGTCAGTTCCCAGGGACACCCACGGTGGGCTTTGTGCAGTGGGCTTCCTCTCTTTATAAAATCTTCAAAACAGCTTTAGGGTAGGTAGTGGCCCCATGGCACAGGTGAGGAAATATAGGTCCAAAGAAATCTGACAGGGCATGGAAGGGGAGCCGGGGCTCTGTCTGTCTGTCTGTCTGTCTGTCTGTCTGTCTGTCTGTCTGTCTGTCTGTCTGTCTGTCTGAGAGCAGGTCTCACTATGTAGCTCAGGCTGGTCTCAAACTCCCAGCAGTCTTCCTGCCTCATCCTCCCAAGTGCTGGCATTACAGATGTGAGTCACCACACCCAAGTCGCGCGCTCTTAATGACCACCTGCCAGAGGAGATGAACTTCCTGAAACTCACGGAGACCTTTCAGGCAAACCGCACCACCTGCCCCACCCTCAAAGGCCACTGGGGCTGTGCATCCTGTCCCCGCGCCAGCAGCAGGCTGGGGGGACTGTGATCCCACACGCACGTCCTCACCTCTGGGTGGGTCCTGGAAGGTCCAGTCCTGCTGCAGGTCTGGGGAGTGGAGAGGATCAGGTCACAGGCAGAGCAGAAAGTGAGCTGGGTGCCCTGGGTGGCTGCTGGGCTGCTCCCAGCCTCCCTCCCACCTCTCAAGGGCTGAGGGCTGAGTCAGGGCCCCAAGAATGTTCTGAGGGAGGGAAGGGATCAGGAGGCCGGTGGCAGCTCTTGGGAGGGCCCTGGCAGCCAACTCGGCAGACCTTCTCTGCCGTTCCCCACACACACAACCTCCCAACCTGCAGACCTCGGTACCCTCGGTGCCCGCCACGGTGCAGGCTGGGAGGCGACTCCCCTCTGGCTCTCGCCCTGCCTTCCATGTGCCTTTCTGAATGCTCTCCTTCCTTAGGAACCTCTGGCAGGCCTTGTGGGAAGAGCTCCTGACCAGCTGGCTACTGCCCCTTAGCGCCCCACAGTACCCCACTCTGTTGGCTGGCCGGGTTTTCCTGATTCTCCCAGCAGGCTGTGACTACTCATGACCTCCGCACCCCCCTCCTCAAGATCTTCAGATGGTTTAACTCCAAGCGTCCCGTGGGCAGCAAGTATCACCTCCTTTTGAATTCCTTCCTCACCTGGCTGCAGGGAGCAGATTTGGTTTTGCTCTGCCTCCTGAACTGCGCCCTTCTGACTGATAGTTGAGCATCTCTGGAACTTCTAATCATCCACCTGCCTGAGAACTCAGCCTGTTGACCTTCCTGAGTGGCACTGACTAGTCTAAGTGCTGGGGACCAAAGCCAGCACTTCACACATGCTACGCTCCACCACTGAGCCACCTGGGTAATATTCTTCTCTTGAGACAGGGTCTCACTGCATTGTCCAGACTGGCCTTGAATTTAGGATCCTCCTGCCTCAGCCTCCTGGGTAGCGGGGATCACAGGTGTGTGCCGTCCCCTCAGGTTAAGGCTTTTAAAATCAGTCAAACTTCTATATTCACAAATTCTTCATCTATAGATTGAACCAAACCATAGACTGAAAATTTTCAGGAAAAAAATCACAACTGTGCTGAACATGTGCAGGCTTTTTGTTTTGTCATTACCCCTTAAAAACTGCAGTACAGGGGCCGGGGAGATGGCTCAGTAGGATAAGCGCTTGACTGGCAAACGCCAGGATCTGAGTTCAATCCCCGGTTCCGCCAAAAACAAACAAACAAACAAACAAACAAAAACTGCAGTACAGCAACTGTGTCCATAGCCATAGCATTGAGTTTGTATTAGGTCTAATAAGCAACCTAGAGTTGCAGGAGGGTGCACATAGGTGGTGTGTGAACACTGCGCCATTCTGCAATTTGCATACTCAAATCACACAGTGGGGTGAGGCTGGAGCTGGGCCTAGTCACACAGGAGACCCCAGCAGCCTGGGACTTCAGTGTCTGCAGGGCTCCTGCATGCTGTCCTGCTGCGATTTATTCCCAAGCTGCACAAGCTTGGCTGCACATTAGAATGTCCCTGGGAGCTTTCAATCAAAATCTCTTTTGAGAGACTCCCAGGTACTTCCATCTGCAGCTCAGACCTGGCCAGTGAAGTACAGTGTTGAATTTTCAACTGCCTATTGGACATCTTCACTTGGATGTGACATAGATCAAAAACCAAATGCTCCTTAGCTGTGTCCGTCCAGGGGCTGGATGCAATAGCACACGCTGTAGTCCCAGCACTCGGGAGGCTGAGGCAGGAGGATCACTGTGAGTTTGAGGCCACCGTGGGCTACATAGTGATTTCAAGGGCATCATGAACTACACAGGAGATCCTGCCTCAGAAACAGGACAGAACAGAACAAAAGCGCTCGTCCTGCAGTCCTCTCTGTCTCTACAGATAGCATTCTGTCCTTCAACTTGCCCAGGTTTAAGATCATCCTTGACATGCCATATGCGATCCATCAGCAAATTCCAATCGCTGTCCCTGGAACACAGCCAGAGCCTCACCCTAGCCCATCAGGTCTGCAGCTGGTGCCTGGCCCAGCTCACTGTGGTCTTGAGCTTGGCCTAAAGCAGAACTTTTTTCCCGGTGCTGCTGAGGCAGGAAATGGGCCCCCGCTTCCACCATCTCCTGTGTACCCACAGCCTGGTACAGCCTCCCCGGCCACCCCTATCTGAGCACGTGAGTCACTGTCCCAGCCCGTGCTGGCCCACACCTTCCCGCTGCTCTCTGGCGCCCTCTCTGCTGGGGTGCTCCTGACTGCTCCGCTGGGCCCCCTCCACCCAGGGCTCTCGCTCTAGGGCCACCCACAGAGCTATGGCTGAGGCTCCTCCCCGCCCTCTCTTTTCTCCCTGGCCTTTCCACTAGGCCCTCCTGCTGCCATGCCGAGGTTTATCTGTCTAGCCTGTCTCCCTCTTATCTCCCCTTTTACTTTAGAACAGCGCTCAGCACACAGGATGCACTCCACAGGCAGACAAGGAGTGACAGACGGGCCGGTGACCCTGTGGCCATGGCACACAGGGCACAGGCTTGGCTGCATTGTCAGTTGTGGAAGAAACCAATGCTTTGGGCCTAGGACTGATGTACTAATGGTGCAAACTCAGCCCGGCAGGAAAAGAACAGGATTTGGGGAAGACTACTTCCCTGCACCTTCAGAGGACACCGGGGGACAGCAGCTGGTCACTGTCTGCCCCAGGATGCTCTGGAGGCCACTGCTGGCCTTGAAGAAAGGGAGGGACAGTAAGACTCCTTTCTTTTCTTTTCTTTTTTTTTTTTTTTTTACTTGTTTCTTTTCTTTTTTGGGGGGGAGTCAGTTTCACTATGCAGCTCGGGCTGGCCTTGAATTCATGGCGACCCTCCTCTGTCATCCTCCCAAGTGCTGGGATCACAGGCTTGTGCCACCACACCTGGCACTTTCTTTGGCCTGTTTTAGGGACCTCTCACCTGACAGCCTGGGGGTTGTGAACAATACCCTAAACTGACAGGTCTCCTTTACTGTCCTTCCCTCCTCCCTCAGCTGCAGTGCCCGATTCTACTCTGGCTTGGAGAGGTGGCACACACCTGTGATCCCAGCACTCAAGAGGCTGAGGCAGGAGGATCACTGTGCATTTGAGGCCAGTCTGCACTACACAGTAAGACCCTGCCGCAAACCTCCCCCTACCAAATTAAAAAAAAAAAAAAAAAAGACATTTCCAGAGCCCACTCTTTGCCCTGGCAGGATATCAAACCTGGCAATTTCCGGTGAATCTGCTGAAACATTCTCCGATACCAGTCCCTGGGGCAGTCCACACTCTGCAATCAGAAACCACCAGGTTAGGCTTTCGTGCTCACCCTCCCTCCTAGGAAGGAGCCCTGTGGAAGCTTCCCTTCCTGAGTCTCTTTTCTAGCCTCCCTTGAAGCCACGTGGGTGGGCTGGGGGGCATCTCTTGTGGCACCTTTCCATGACAATGAATATGCACTAAGATGCAGCACGTCACCTGTGAGTTAGATACCCAAAGGTCTCCATCAGTGTATACAGCAGTGACCACTCCATTGTGAGATTCCGGGGATTAACATTTTTCCTCTTTGCTTGTCTACAATTTCTAGTATTCTACAAAGAACACATGTAGCAAGTGGCAAGATGGCATTTTATCTTTCATCATCCACCTCCACTGAGCCTGGGGTGGCAGGGGGACTTTGTGCCAGTTGCCCGCTGCAGATCTGCAGCTGCCTCCAGACAGGAAGGCAGTAGGGGAAGGATAGCAACCAGCACTGCTGGGTACCCGGACCCTTCTATGCCTTTCCACCCGGGGCTTATTCTCTCATTTTGCCAGCCTCTCAGTAGCTACTCTGTGAGCCCCTGACTGCACCAAGCCCTACAAAACCAAGAAGAGGAGGGTCTCTGCCAGGTGCAGCTCTTATGATGGTGGTTCCTTCCACGTTGGAGGCCCTGGTGGGAATTCTGGATGTGCAACTTGACACAGAGTACCCACAACTTTATAAGGTTCACAACTCCCAAAACTCATCATGGTTGAAGCCCTGCTTAGTCTGGAATGGTCAGGGGACAGACTTTATTGCCCTATCCAAAATTCCACTGATAGAAGTGACAGCTCAGTGTAGGTCCCCGGGCCCCTGTCTGTGACACCTGCAACCCTGGACTCACAGATCGGGGGGCGATGGGCATGCCACTCTCATCCACAGGCCCGATGCCCTCATACTTGACCCAGCGCCTGTCCCGATGCCGGCTGTCCTTGGTCCATGTGGCTGACCAGTTCTGGGCATGCTGGGAAGTGGGGGTCTTTGGGCTCGAAGAGGGCCAGCTCCCAGGGCCTGGCCAGGTCTGGTACCAGGCAGGGTCTGCAGGGCATGTGCAGGACAACATTAGCTGAGGGCAGGGTCCCCACCTGACCTTGTTTGTCCCTTAGCTCCCTAGAACATGGATTCCTGTGGGTCCAAAGTTTCAACATGCCCTTGTTTGTTTGAGCAGATGACGCAGGCGCTACAAAGCTCATCCCCAGCAACGCTACCGGCTTATTTGTTTATTTATTGAAGTGAATTAAAACAGATTTTGTTCTGAGAAATCTGCGCTGTCCCCACCCCATCCTGCTTCCCTGGGACTGTCCTAAAAGTCTGTAGAATGAGATCTGGGAATCATCACTTACAGAGAATGCTGGGGACACCCCAGCTGGGGTGCGGCAGAAAAGATACCAGGCTTAGAAAGAACAGACTTGAATTCACTGCCCAGCTCTGCCATCTACTAGTGGTGTGACTTTGTCACCCTCTCGGTGGGTGCCTCAGTTTTCACTTCTGGGAAACAAGAGCAATCACAGCTGAGAGTGGGTGGCATCTGGTGCGTGTGCCTGGCAGACACTGCCAAGGGGCCCTCAGCGAGGACAGAAAATCTTTCCTGGGTCATGGCTGCTGTGTCGCCAGCTTCCCTGGAATCTTTGGCCTCTAAGTAGCTAGTGTTGCTACAAAATGACTTTGGGAACCAGAGGACATGGGACTGACTGTCTGTCCAGTCTTGGTGGCGGGCAGTCTGCGGCTGCCACTGTACCACAAGGATAATGTTAATAATTGTACATGACTTCTCAGGAAGCAGAGGAGTAAAGTCAGGTTTGTAAACTGTCTCTACAGGGTCCACAAGCTGTGTTCTTAATTACTTGTTAAGCAACCAGTCCTTCACTGCGGGCCTGCCTAAAGGGAATACTCTAGAAAAGACACCGCTGCCTAAGGGCAGGCCTGTACCCAGAAGTTCCCAGGAGCTCTGGACCAGGCCTTTGGGCTACCTCACTCCTCCCACCCCAAGGTCCTGCCCCAAGGAGTTGGGCCCAGAAGGGGACTGTCCCCACCCCTTCCTGCCAGCATTCCCTCCCTGCCTGTCATTCCCAGTCTAGTCCAAGTAATTCCTTGGCTGAGCGCGAGTGCCATCCCTTCCCCTGGCATGGGGGGAGGGTGTCAGTGTCTCTGTGTCATGTTTCTCTTGCTGAGTCAACATTCTTGCACATGGAGGAATCGGGGTCCTCCTGGTGGCCAGAGACCCGTATGTCCCCTGCTGCCCACCCACCTTCCCACACGGTGCCAGACAGCAGATTCCCCCTGGGGCCCCGGAGCACCTGTACCTGAGTGGACTCACCTGGGGGTTGGGAAGCATCTCTTGCTGCTGGGATGTAACCATTGCACACAGTCCTGGGCGCAGGGTCATGGAACTGGAAATTAAGGGTGTTGGAGCCACCGTTCCGGATCACAGGCACCTGCGGGGCAGGCCGGGAGCAGCAGCTCAGGGCCCAGAGGGTCCCATAGAAGAGGAGGAGAGATGGCTGTCAGGGTTCAGCTGTCCCCATGGTGAGGTCTGTGGGCTCTGTGAGCTCTCCGTGGGGACCCTTCATCTGAGCCCCTTCTCTCCCTCTCGTCCCTTTCATCCTCTCCTGCCCCCACCATGAACCCCCAGTGTGCCCTCTTCCTCCCTGCTTCACTCACCCGTGTCCCCCGAGAGGATGGCCCTATGTGGGCCCGGAGGTGGCCTGGGATGAAGTCGTCCAGGCTGAGCCCAGCAGGAAGGCTGCAGGGCGGACCTTGCATGCTTGGGTCAGGGTTGGAGGACACTGAGTGTGCCAGCTGCTCCTGTGCACGTCCCCTGTGGGGAAGGAGGAAGGAAGGGAAAGCCCTGCTGGGCTGCAGTGCCTGTGCCCTCTGGGTTCGCAACCCTGGGTTGGGGGAGGAGGGCTGGCTGGGGTGGGGAGGTGTTGGGACCAGCTGGGTGGGAGCTCAAGGACCCAGGAAACAGGCCACTCTGGGTGCCCGCCTGCAGGCTGCCTGTACAGGCTCCCAGGCACAATGGGCTACTTGTTAGTCCAGGGCAGGAGCTCTGGGTGGGAGTGGGGGAGGGGGAGGCCTGGGCCAGGAGGAGGGGAGGGAAGGCTGGCCAGGAGCAGGCCTGCAGGCCCACTGGCCAGGCCCTCGGGGCTGCCCTGCCAGCAGCAGTACAGGCCGCAGCCCCCGGGGGAAGGCACCGGGAACTGGGACAGCTGGCAGCAAGGGGCCTAGGCAGCAGGACTTTCAGTTCCTCTGCCTCCCCCAGGCCTGTGTCGCATGTGCTTGCCCGCAGGCACAAGGGGTTCTGCAAGCCCAGCCAACAGCAAGGCCACCAGCCCATAGCCCTTCCCAACAGCCAGCAGTGCCCTGATTCCTAACAAGGCCTGGGAGAGCATGGCGGGGGGGCATTGCAAGGCTGCAGGAGCACCCCTCGGCTCAGAGGAAGTGTGAGCTTCATTCTGGTCTTCTTCACAGGCTAGAGACTCAGAGAGCTCAGGGAGCCAGCTAGGGATGGGATGGACAGACGAGTCCTACTCCTGGAGGGCGGTGCTAAGGGCCCCTGATGCACTCCTGCACACACACACACACACATGCATTCAGGCTTTCCAATGCATGTGCATGCACACACACACACACACACACACACACACACACACACACACATCCTGCACCTCCAGGCTCTCCTATTTGCTTGCATTTTTGAGACAGGGTCTCTCTATGTAGCTTATGCTGGCTTTGACTTCACTATGTAGCCCAGGCTGGCCTCAAACTCCCAGCTATCACCCAGTCTGTTTACAAGGAGGGACTTCCCTGACAGCACTAAACCTGGCTCCACAGCAAATTCCTTTTCCCCATGCAAGGGTCAGGGGAGGGGGGCCCAGGAGACAGAGGCCTGTAAGACGAGAGGTCAGAGGCAGACATCCTGCATTGTGCTGTGTGCACCCAGACAGCGGTGGGGCAGAGCACCGCCTCCTTACCTCTACTGTTGCATGGGGCCGTCAGTGCAGCCAATCCCCACTACCTCTGGACTGGACCAAATCGGATTCGCCTATGCCAGTGGGGGCCTGGGGGGAGGGGTCTCTGTAAGGACAACAGATGCTGGGATACCCTGACATGCGTGGTGGAGTGAATACACATGCAACATCATGAACAGCACTTCTAGGGGTACGATGGGGATCATGTGAGCAGCCTAGGGTCGGGACACAGGTGTGTATGGATGGTAGGTGCAGGCAGCAGTGGTTCTGTGAGCTGCATGGGCAGAGTGGAGATGGAGGTTCAGAGGGGGCTGTGAGTCTTCTTCTGGACCCAGTGCCTGCTCAGGCCTTGGCAGACTGGCGAGAGTGTAGGGAAGGCTGTGGGTGGCACCCTGTCGCTGGTCTGCCTTTGTGGGCATCATGTGGACATCTGAGCAGTCTATGAGGGCTCTAGTTTTTCCATGCCAACCCCTGACAAGGGGAGCAAAGGACTAAAGCAGGAGGAGGGGCAGCTCAGCAGCTGGATTGAATTAGGATTCTTACCAAAAGCAAAACATGCAGGCACACCCCAGTTCCCACGCAGGGCCTCCCCTCACAGGGAAAGTGAGGCAGGGCAGAGTGGAAAAGCAGGGGCGGAGGGCACCAGTTCCTAGCAGCCACCCTCCCTTGCCCTGCTGACTGCTCAGGGCCAAGCTGCGGGCTCAGCACCAGTGATGCTGACCATCAGCTGACCCGGTGTTCCTCTGAGCGTCCGGGCCCCACCCTTAACACTCCAAGATAAGTGTCCTTTTGTAGGATGGGCAGGTCAAAAGGGTCCCCCCCCACCTATGTTCAGGGGCTACTGACCCTCAGAGCCCTAATCTGTTCTTCCCCAACTCTGCTCATGTGACTGAAGCACCCCCCTGGGGGGGGGACATAGGGGGTCAGACGGGAAGCGGGTCTCAGTTTTTCTCTTGGCAACTCGACCAAGAGATGTTAGAAAGATGGAGGCATTCTCAGGAACTAGTCCCTGCCTCAGAAGAAAAGGGGTATCAGACAGCTCTGGGGCTCTCCCAGAATTCAGGCAGCCTTGTGACAGCCAGCTCCAAACAGCTGGAAGAGGCCAAGTAGCTCTGCTGTGGATGGCACACTGCCCCACCTCTGGGCACAGCCTGACCTTGGGACTTGGCCTTCTGCTTTTGCAGGTATTTTTCAGCTACCAATGGACAGGGACAGGGACAGGGACAGGGACAGGGACAGGGACAGGGACAGGCTCATTCCAGTTCTGCCTTCTCTGGATGGAGAGTGGAGGACCTTCTCACAACTCATGTTGATGTTTGGGACAGGGACCCTGGGGAGCGGCTCCGTGCCCTCCCTTGGGCCGAGTTCCTCCCGGGGCGACGACACCTGGCTTCCCGCCACCAGCCTCCCACACCTACCTTCTGCAGCGACCAGGTGGTGGGGCTGGTGGCCGCCTGGGGGTTCAGGAGCATCCCGCCCGCTCGGGATCCTGCCTGGTGTGGCTGTGCGCTGGAGGCGGAGGGCAGGGAAGCGCAGGCCGGCGCGGCCTCGTGACCAGGTCAGGACACTGGGCCAGGGGGGCGGCGCGAGGAAGAAGAGGATGGCCCGGCAGTGAGCTCGCACGCCAGTTAGGGTTTGGGTCGGGATCGGGACTGTGGGCCGCGGCCGTGCTGGGTAGCGGAGGGGCCGGCCGCAGCCTCCCTCCTCTTCGGCGCGCGTCGCGGGACGCCGGTGGCCCATTGCCCGAAGGGGCCGGCCCGGCAGGGAGGCGGCGCCGGGAGGGGCCGCCGAGGGTCCCCGGGGAGCTCACTCGGGTTCCCAGCTGCCTTCCCCGGGCCCCCACCGCAGGGCTGGCGTCGGGAAGGGGGCGGGCAGGCCGGGAGGGCACTCAGAGTTTCCAGCGACATTTCCAGGGTGTGGGAAGCAAGCTGCTGCGCGGCACAGCCGGAATAGAGGAGCACGATGATTAACGAGAATGAGCCGCGAGTTCCAGATACGCCTCTGGCCGCCCGGGTGGGACCGAGATAAGGGCGTCCTGCAGGCGCGGTGTCCCGGAAGGCCCGGCCACCTCCCCTTCCCCGCGCCTGGGGACAGTGTGTGCCCCACCAACACCGGCTGGGTGTGCAAGCAAACCACGCGCGCGTGCGCTGGCGGAGGAGCGGATGCGCACACACGTGCAAGCACGGGGAGGAAATCGGGGCCAGGCAGCAGTTCCCTGAGTGCGCCGCGCCCCTAAAGAGGATGAGGGTGGGATCCCACGGCGGCGAGGAGGTTAGAGGGTCCGGGTGTTCCCATACAACGTATTTGTTTGATCGCCGGGCTTTTCCGCTGTTCCCGCGGCTCTGACGTGGGCCCGAAGGCCCCGCCTACTGGCTCCCCCATTCACTGTGCCCCTATTCACGGGTGGCACAGGGACTGTTAAAGAACCTGGGGGCACTTAACGAATACTTATTTACTGACGGTGGTAATAGAGTCCGAGTAGTGCCAGCTCTGGGCTTACCTCTGGGATCCGCTTGCCCCAACAAACCGACAACAAATCAGTAGTTACTGATTGATTTCAGTGCTAGGAGCGACTGGAGATACATTATGGGAAGAATGACTATTTATTGGTATCTACTGGGTATCCCTTTGACGTCTGGGGTCATGCAATTTAGAGTGCCATTCAACCCGACCATTCCATTCAAAAGTTGAGAAGAAAGAGAAAGGAAAAAAGACACAGTGGTTCTGGATCCCTGCCTCCCTCAGTGTAGTCAGCTTATCTCCCCGCAGCTCAGCCATGTGGGAACAAGCACACAGAGGAGGGGCTCGGCCGGCATGCCAGGGGCCCCCGCGTCTGCCCGTTGCCAGTGGAGACCGGCTGCGCTGGCAGAGGGGTCACTGGGAAGCAGTTCTAGGCTTCCAGGGAAGATTTTTGTAAGTGATGACTGGACGCCAAGTCTGCCGACTGTGAAGGAATTTTACAAAGGCGACTATTTCACTGAGTGGGGCAAACTTACAAACCTCTATTATTCTCTAGAGCTCCGACCTGGACTCCAAGATAAATATTTAATGAGATAAACATTTCAGATCTCTTCTGCCTCTCCAGAGAAGCTGAAGGGCTGAGTCGGTCACGGTGGGCAGCCGGTGCCCACAGTGGGCTACTCCCCCAGCACAGGGCTACTCACTCACCCAGGGTACCAGCCTGTTCCCACCCTACGGGGAGAGTAAGTACCCATTTCCGTAGCCCGAGTTTTCCCACCTGTCAGTGTCCTTGGCACTAAGAAGGGCCTCATCACTTTCATGTTCTTCCTTGTTCTCCAAAGACGGTGAAGCTGACGATCTTCCAACTCCAGGAATCCTGGTCATACCCCTCACCAGCGTGCACTTCTCTTATTCTCTAGGGCTCTGACCTGGACTCCAAGATAAATATTTAATGTAGAGGGTGCTGCTGAGCTGCCAAAGGCCCCAACTTCCTGATTCTCACAAAGGGAGGTGGCAGCCATGGGCCAAGACTTGGGGCCTGGCCACCAGCTCCATTGCTATGGGGATGAGGAGCTCAGTAAACAGCTCTGGAGGATGGACGAGGTGGCGTGTGGGAGGCCTTGCAGGAGACTAGAGCCTTTTTCTCAGCTGCTTGGGCTCCACCGCCCACAGGGGCCTGGCCCTGCTGCTTCAGCCCTGTTCCTCTGGTCCAAACCCACTGTATTTCCTGGTAGCCAGCTGGCTTTGCTGATGGCAGGATGGAAGATGGATGGGTCCACAGGGTCAGAAACCTAAGGAAACTTGCCTCATTCCTCCTTTTCAGCCCTGATTTAGGGAGGACTCCTTTTTGAAAAGCAGATTAAGGGGGTGGAGGGAGCCAGGTGCAGAGATTGGGCCAAAACTCAGGTGTCGGATTTCGCAGCTCCTCCCCTGAGCTTCAGCTCTACCTCTGGCCAGCCTCCACAGCTGGTGTGGCTTCTGGGGCCTGGCTTCCAGAGCCTGCCTGGACATAGACTAGATGGATGGTCCACGTTGACCTGGAGCAGATTTCTCCCATGCCTACACGCTGTCCTGTCCTTTGCCCACTGTCCCATATGGAAGGGAGCTCTCTCCCTGTAAGTGTGCTATTTGACCACCTCTGGCCCCGCCTATGGTCAGTTGCTGCCGCCACCTGAGCTGTAGTAAACACAGTTATGTAACTGCTCTTTTTCCTAGCTATCTGATTCCAGTCACCAGGATCCCTGCCCCTGGCCAAGGCTGCCAACTTTTGTTCTGCAAATACCCCACCCACCCCAGGACTCCTGTCCTCAGTCACCAGCCCAGGGCATGATCAGCTACCCATAAGTGTTGGGGTTCCTCACACTGAGAGGGATAAGCAGGCTAAAAGCACCCTCTGGCACCAAAAGAAAGGATGAGTGAGAAGAGCTCTCAAGCTATTTTTTCCTTGCTCAGTCTAGCCTTGAACTCACTGTGTAAACCAGGCTGGCCTGAACCCCAGGCCATCCTCCTACCTCAGCATGCTTTGCCACACCCAGTAACTCTCATTTCTTGAGTGTCTTTCTCTAGTATTGGGAGTCTACCATTTGTGTCAGCCACACTCTGAGGTTCACCCACCCCTGCCCTGGCCCCTGGCCCCCATGTTAGCTAGAGGGAGGGCAACTGCTGTCCCTTTTCTGGTGATTCTGGAACAGGTTCCAGATGGGTTCCCAGTTTTTATGTGTCTATTCAGAAGAGTGTTTCCTCCACCCAGCCCAGGAAGGGTAGCAAAGAAGACTCCAGCAGTCTGGAGGCAGAACACAGTGACGTGGCTGTGAGGAGCCAAAGCAAGTCACCTCCTCGGACATGCCATGCAGATCTGGACTCTGTTTCATCCCCTGGGCCCCATCCTCTCTCCTGGGTCCTCTCCTGATTCCAGCTCCTGCAGTGCTGCCAGCCAAGTTCCACCGACAGCCCTTTCTGGGCCAGCTACTCATGGGATCAGGGTAAGCAAGGGAGGAAAAGTGCGGGTGACCCACTTTGGGCCTTCAAAGGCCCTCCTCTGCTGACAGTGGCATGATCTGGCCCATCTGGAATCCACCTTTTTTTTTTTTTTTTTTACTTTTTAATAGTCCCTGCAAATGAGGGATCTCTGTGAGGAATCAGTGCTGGGGCCAGCAGCCAGGTCAGGGGCGTGGACCCCATGGGAATGGAGGAGGCTCCAGGTTTGTGCACAAACCTTTTCATAGCACACATGTGATGCCACAGGCTTCTATTCCAGGCTCTTGGTCACTCACATCCAATCCCCAAGGGTGGCCAGAGAACTCAGGCTTTTTGCCAGGTTTTCCCAGTCTGTCCCCCAGAAAGCTGTGACATGGTCACCACACCTACAGCTCTCCTTTCCTTTCCGTTATATGGGTGAGCAGATGAACACAGTTCATAGGTGGGGTGACTTTGAGAAGATCTCAGGAAAGATGAAAAGCCCAAGTGGCTGTCAGCTCTTTAGAAGGCAGACTGTATAAGGAAAGAAGAGCACGGTGATCTCAGAGGGGAACCAAGCCAAGTCAACTCGGCCACAGAGAAGGGCACAGAACCAGGAACTGGAAAATTAGGTCTGCCATGGCCTTCCTTCCCTGCTCAGGTAAACTGAGATAAGGAAGGGGAGCGGCTGATTGGCTGGCCGGTGCACACCGTGAGGCGGTGCTCTGGCTTCTGAACAAAGGATAACCTGTCTTCCCATCTCCCTGAATTCTGGATGAAATGCTTCCTTCACTGCATCAACATTGAAAAAGACAATTTACCAGTAAATTACAAATCCCCTGTATCAACAATAAGTAGACTTTCTGAAAGCTGATTCTTGAACAAATTAGACCATGCAACAAGCAGGGACTACATCTAGGTCTAGTGAGAGGTCAACATGAATTCTCCTATCAGCCTTTCATTCCAAGGTTCTTACCAAAGCTTTCCACAATTCTGTAAATAAGGGCAAGCATGACTTCATTTTATTGGGATTTTAGCTAAGGGAAAGAACACTGCTAACCTAGGACACCGGGATAACAGAACCCAACATGCGTCCTTAGCTTTTGTAAAATTAGAAATCTGGGCTTGTTTTTTGGCCTGTACACTACACTGTGGCCCCTTAATTTGGAAGTGTTTGACATGCAGATGTGCAGTCCAGGCCTGGCAGTGCCGGATGGGGCCCTTTCACCATGACACCAGGACCTGCAGTGTTCCCTACCCTCATGGCCGCTTGCCAGGGGAGCTGATTCATCCTCACAAATCCACAGCAGCACCTCATAGTATTTCCCCTGTGCACAGAAAGCACAAGGCTGGTCTGGTACTTCCTGTCCTTCATAGTTCAGCTCCATTTCACCTTCTCTTTGGCTTCTTGGACTCCTCCCACATTGAAACTCAGCCATGTCTATTGTTAGGATCACACAGAGTTATTAAATTACCATAATAAAGCCCTATTTTTAACCTTTACCAAGACTGTGCCTGTCTGGGATATTTTTCTTCCTTTTCTTCATGTAGTGACCTCTGGTGGAAAAGCCACAGGGGTGGGGTCTTCAGGAGGAGATGGTGGTGAGCAAAATGCCAGAGTTGAGGGAGTAGTAAGGTTCTGAGCAGGGAAAAACCCAACATGGAAGTAGCAGCCAGACAGCTTTAAACTAAAGAGCTGGGAGAGGGAAAGAAAGAGGCCCTTTTACTGAGAGGGGATTCCTCCTTTGTGAGGGGAATTCCTTGATACTGCCACCAACCAGGTCAGACCAGAATAGACGTTGAAAGCCTGGCTTTCCTTTGACTCCTAGAATTATCATCATCATCATCATCATCATCATCATCATCATCATCATCATCATCATCATCATGTCTTTTTGGGACAAGGTCTCCTATGCCGCTCAGGTTGGCCTTGAGCTCATTTTGTAGCCCAGGCTGGTCTTGAACTTGCAACTATCCTCCTGTCTCAGCCTCCAAATACTGAGATAATAGGTGTGTGCCACTAGGCCTGACTCCTAGAATTATCAGATGGGTAAGAACCAAGTATCAGTGCCTTGACCAGAAAAATAAAAACACAGGGAACCAATAAGTTACTCAATTTAAAGGTCTTTTTTTCTTCTTTTTATCTTAAAGATGACTTTTAATTTACAGTAACAAAGTTCTAACAATTTCTTATTCACAAAAAGATTTAATAAATGACTTCTGCTAATAAGTAACATCCCCATTTCTTTAACATCACTGAAAGAAAAAATAGGGACTCTCGAAATTCAAGCAAAACAATCTATCATTTAGAAGAACCTTTAGAAAAACAATACCAACTAGTCTCACAACTAGCCCACCACATGTAAGAAGAAAAACCAGGAACTTTTCTTGGAAAATGTGTCACAACACTATTGGTTACAACAGAGAAAGAAAAAAAGTGCTTGCAATGGCATCATCAAGAAATACTGTGACAGACAACAAACTTTATTGCCGAATCAAAATCTATGGCTGCCTCTTCCTTATTATGTACACTTCACTTTAACATGCAAAAATAAAACATTTTAAAAAGTCTTTGGAGAGAACTGTGATGAAGGGGAACCCTGGGTCAGAACTTACGGAGAGGGACAGCCCCACTTCACAGCTGCACCAAAGGATGGGCCATGTCCATGTCCTTGCTTCTGGATCTGAAGCCACCTAGACTTGTCATGAGGTGCCGAGGAGAAGACATCTAACCCTGTCTCAAACAAAGGTGTTATTCAGCAAGGCCCGCCAGCTGTGAGGGCACGAGCCCACGGCTTCCCACGAGGGAATGCACTCTCCAGTGTCATCCTCACCTTTGTGACTGCATAGATGAAGGCAGTTAACACTGACCCCCTTCACTCTAGCTGGCCACACAGAGGCAGGGCAGGTCCCAAGTCCCACTGTAATGTTGGGTCGTCTCCGTCCCCCTCTCTGTCACTGGCACAAAGTCCCATTGTTAATACAGTTCGATGCTGGCCCTTCAGATAACAGTAACACCTTTGTCCTTCCAATACATGACTTTCTTCCTGTACGTACATCTGCTCTTTCTTACGGCCTTCCTATGAGTGTCTGATCACAGAAGGCTGAAAAGGGACTAAGGCACTATCACACTTTAGAAGCATCCTCCATGTAACCCAGATCTTTCTAGGCTGTGAGATTTCAGAAAAGATGTGGACTAGGTGCCAGACAAGGTAGAACTCATGGTTATAACCCCAAGTAATGTAGGAAATTGGAGCCTCATACCCACAACTGGAGCTCTGGATTCTCTCTCCTCCTGGTATCTGCCTGGGTGGGAAAAGCTGAATGATTTTTTTTTTTTTTTTGTGGATACTAGGAATTGAACTCAGGACCTTGTGCTTGCCAGGCAGGTGCTACACTGCTAAGGTATATTCTTGGCCGCTTGAATAAAGTTTTTAAAGAAACTGAGGTTCTATTATTACCATAACAACTACAATAAGTATTGGAGATTCTGGAATGCTAGCTCAAGTCTTTATGAATTAGTGTATTACTTTCCATAATCAGAGCAAAGTACCTGGCACTTGCAACTTCAAGAGGTCTATCTGGCTCACAGCTTTAGAGGGCTCACTCCGTGGCCAGCTGACTCCACGGCAGAAATGGCCACGGAGAAAAGCCTGGTGGAAGGCAACTGCTCAACCCGTGACAGCCAAGGACCAGCAGGATGAGTCACAGACAGAGACATATCTGCTAGAGGCAGGCCTGCCTCCAGGGCCACACCTCCTGCGACGGGCTCCACCTCACAGCACATTCAGGTCCAGACTCGCCAGCGGATGAATGCCCTGTCCTTGTGATCTAGTCTCTCCCAAAGCTCTACGTCTGGAGGATATTTGGAGGATATTTCTATTTTATTTCTATTTATATGTTTGGTACCAGGGATCAAACTTGGGCTCTTGTACTTTCCAGGCAGGTGCTTATGCCACTGAGCTACATCCCCAGCCCTGACATTTGAGATCTAAACCATAACATTAGAAAAGAATTTCAATACAAAGACTGGGAAGAGGGGCCGGGGAGATGGCTCAGTGGAATAAGTGCTTCCCTGGCAAGCGCAAGGGCCTGAGTTCAATCCCCGGTTCCGCAAAAAAAAAAAAAAAAACAAAGACTGGGAAGAAAAATTTGACAATTAATGTAAAGTAAAACTGAAATCCATGTGGGGCATTCTCTTCCTAAGCCAGTTTAACTGATTGATTACCCAGACTGGTTAAGATGAACTTAACTTTGAAGAACTTGAATTTTATATGAAGGGACTCGGTATCATCAAAAGCTCTTGAAGGGGTCTGGGGAGATAGCTCAGTACATTTAGGGCTTGCCTGGCAAGCACAAGGTCCTGAGTTCAATCCCCAGTACCACAAAAACAAACCAAAAAAAAGGTCTTGAGAGCAGCTATAACATATAAAATAAGAGAAGGTAGATGGCTCAGATTTTCACCGTCTTCATTCTGAAAGGCTAGAGAGGTTGCTGCGTAACAACCATGACAGCAAGCCCAGCTGTACCTCACATGTGATATACTAGTTTTATCATTAGAGATCAGCTACCTCAAGTTTTGGATGTTTGTATGTGTGTGTTGTACAGGGAATCAAACATAGGCCCTCGTGCTGGCCAGGGTGGTACTGTGCTGCTGAGCTACATCCCCGCCAAACTTTGCATCTTCAGGTCACTCAGAAGGAAGAGGAGGTAAGGGACAATGCGAAAGCTGAGACTCCCGAAAGTAGCCCAGTTTTTCAGAAATCCCACCCTTGCTCCTTAACAACATTAAATAATATTGTATTTGAGTGGCAAAAAAACCTGATTTTTTCCCCTATTTTTGACTACTGCCATGGAATCATCTATAAGTTATCAAGATAAAACAATAACTCTTTGCTTTCTGGGGAAATTTGTAACAACAAATGGCAGCTGTTCATGGACAAGAACAGAAAAGTCAAAACAAAATCCAGATAAAAGGATATGCAAAATACTGGTATTCCCAGACAGCCAGACTCTTCTATTCCAAGAAGAGTTCTAGGTGTGACCAAGTCTATCAGAATAAGAAATTTTCACTTTTCTTTTTTTTTTTTCACTTTTCTGTTCAAAATTTAGTCACAAAAGTCCAGCAAATTGGTCATGTTTCTACTCCTAAGCAAAGTGTCACCCTGACGCTATAAAGATGGAAGCTGGTCTTGTAGCATTCTATTAAACATACACGCACATATAGATGTACTGCTTTGTCTTTGTGCTAAATCTTCAAAACACAGAGACTTAAAAGGGGTGTTTGGAACTAGTGTGAGATGAGTTTTACATTTTTATTTAACATTTTTCTTACAAAGTTATCTGATTCTTTCTCAAAATTTCTCATGATGTGCATGTGATCAAATGTGAGGACCTGCTCATGTGAAGCATCGCTTCAAAATGGCACTTTAGAAAAGCACACAAGGGTGTCCTCAGACATGCCCAGGAACTGATGTCAGAAGCAGCTGATCTGTGTTCCTAAATGGGAAGAATTTCAGAAAAAAGAAGGTCCTTGTGGACTTTAATGTGAAAGAGAACAAGAGGAAAGTAATTCTACTATCTTTAGAACATGGGAAGGATTTAATAAAACAGAAGAGGATTTGAAAATGCCAACACTGCAGAGTTTTGACAGCAGTTACAGTGTTTATGTGCAATGATGGTTCTTGACAGAAACAGTCTGAGGGCAAACCAGGGTGGGTATCTAGCCACCTTGGAAGCTGCTGTTAGACTCAAACATTCAGAAATATGTTAAAAGCCTGCAGTGAAACCTAAAGTGAAGAAACATGACTGTTATTACAAGTTACTTATCTCCCCCCCTTTCTTCTCTCCCTCCCTCCCTCCTTCCCACTCCCCCTCCCCCCACCCCCAGACATGGTCATACTATATAGTTTAACCTGCCTTTGAACTCATTGTGTAGCCCAGGCGGGCCTCTAACTCTTGGTGATCCTTCCACCTCAGCTTCCCAAGTGCTGGGATTATAGTTCCACCATGTACAACATTAAAACGTATTTCTAAAGCTGATGCCTTCAAAACTGTCATGAGTCATAGATGCAAACATGTATGTAGGGACTATATGCCAATAGGAAGACACATTTTTAAAAAAATCTCATTCAGGGACCAGGAACTCAGTAGGAGATCCTTTTTTTCCTCCTTCATATTACAGTACTGTGCTTTATCAGTTTAAAAAGAAATAAGATGTAAGTTTAGAGTAAGTGTGATTACATTTTGTTGTTTTTGAGACAGGGTCCCACTATGTAGTTCAGGCTGGCCTTGAGCTGGCAGTTGTCCTATCTCAGCTTCCCAAATGCTAGGATTACAGGTGAGTGCCACCACGCCTGGCTTTGTCATTGCTATTCAGCAGTTCATCCTCTCTGAACACACACTGCTGTTCCCATTCCACCCCCAATGCACAGGGCGGCAACACCCTGCCTTCCACCTGTTCTCTCCAGTGTGTGCAACAGGGTCATGAGAATCGACAGCCAGATGCTCCTAGAGGATGACTGAGAGCTATCGCCCCTCCTTCAACGTTGACCTTGTCTGTGTTTAACCCAAGTTCTTTAGCTACTGCAACAGAGAATGCTGCATAGGCTTCACTGATTTCTAATACATCAACATCTTCCAGAGATCAGCCTGCTTTTGCAACACCTTTGCTTTATGGCTGGAATCGGTCTGTTCCCACAAGGGAAGGCTCCATGCCTACTTGTGCCCAGGAAATGATCTGTGCTAAAGGTGTAAGTCCACGATGATCAGCTTCTGACTTCTTCATGAAAATCACAGCTGCAGCACCATCGTTTATGCCTCAGGCATTAGCTGCAGTGACCATTCCTGTCTCGTCTGTGAGAAAATAAGGTGTCAGCTTGGACACAGCTTCAAGGTTACTCCCATGGCGAGGAAATTCATCTACTTTAACACCTGTGAGACCTTTTCTAGATGATACAAAAACTGGTACAATCTGTCAAAATGGTCAGCTTTCTGTGCACACTCTGTCCTGTTTTGAGACAGAACAGCAACCTTGAGCTTTTCTACTCACTTGCCATTTTTTGGCTACATTTTCAGTGGTCATGCCCATATGGTTGTTGTGAAGCGCATCTGCAAGGCCATCACCAAGTATACTGTCCCGTAATGGCATCTCCCCAATCTTCATTGCCGTTCTCAAGTGAACCAAGTGAGGAGCCTTGCTCATACTCTCCATGCCTCCTGCAACCACAACACTTGAGTCACCAACCCTTATGGACAGGGCAGTGAGGCACACAGCTTTCAGGCCTGACCCACAGATCATCTGGCAGCTCTATGCTGAAACAGAGTAAGGGATCCTGGCACCTACACTGGCTTGCCGAGCAGGATTCTGTCCAGAGCCTGCTGAAAAAACATGTCCAAATGTCACCACAGACATGTCTTCAGGAGCTAGTGTGGCCCTTTTCAGGACTTCTTTGATGACAGTTGAGCCCAGATTGTGGACAGGCACAGTAGATGAAGTACCATGAAAGAGCCTATGGCAGTAACCATAGGGTCTGAGCCTGCACTCATCCTGCCTCGAACATATCTGTCACCATTCTCCATCTGCACTGCCTGTAGAGTGAAGTAAAGCTCTCCACGGCCTTGCAAGGAGCGCTGAGGGCGGGACCTGAGCCCCCAATAGGAGATCCTTTAGCTCCTCCTCTAATATCATTTCTATTTCTCTTTTTTCTTTTCTTTTTTTTTTGAGACAAGGTCTCACTGTCTCACTGTGCAGTTCAGACTGGCCTCAAATTCAAAACAACCCTCCTGCCTCAGCCTCCCAAGTGCTGGGATTACAGGTGTGTGCCACCACACCCTGCTTCTATCCCTTTCATTGACAGAAACTCATGCAGGCAGAGTCCAATCCCCACAAGTGTTTTGGTCTCTGTCCTAAACAATCTGGGAACTGTTAGCAAAAGTGTAAGGGACAAATAGATAGACTAAGTCTTCATTCTTCTAATGAAATTATAGTTTTGGAGAAAACATACATTGTTTTCTGTGGTTTTTTAAATTTTCTTTCTGGTTTTCTCAAAGCTCCAAACATGAAGTACTACTGTTTGAGATACTGCTTCAATGCTGGACTCTCCCACCCAAATGATAGTATGCATTTATTTTTTCCTTTTTTTTTTCAGTACCAGGGATTGAGCTCAGGACCTTGTGCTTGCCAGGGAAGCGCTTATTCCACTGAGCTATCTCCCTGGCCCCTCCATTCTTTTTACATAGCATGCCCAGACACATCCCCTCACCCATGCCACGCAGTGAGTACCATGACCTGGCACCTGTGTTCAGACTAAGCCAATAACAGGATCCTAAGGATCCCCAGAACTTCCTTCCCTAGGTTGTGACATAAAAAGAAACTAAGGGAAGAGTATTCAGAGTACTGAACATTTGTTTTGTATCCCACAGTATGCTAATGAAAGCTGACATATAGTTTAACCTAATGAGTGATGGAGGCACATTCCAGTAATGGGAAGACAGAATATTCAACCAGCTCTAGAAGACAGGAAACCCAATGCCCTTTGGGAAGGCTCAATTCATGAGGGGAGCATCCTACCCTCACTGGCTCCTTCAGGAATACCGACACTAAAATAGTGCATGGCTGATGCAATAGAATCAAACATAAGTACTTCTTGCCGTTGAAGGTTATGCTGAGGAATATATTTAGATATTTAATTTCTTTTACAGGTGGGCAAGTCACCTGGGATCCAAAAACAAAAGCAAAAGAATATGGCCACAGTTAAAGCTTTTTTTTTTTTTTTTTTTTTAACCTCTTCTTGTCTCAGTCTCTGAGGGGAGTTTAAACAAATCGCATCTATGGTCAAATGGATGACTTTTTATTTTCAGTGTTGGGGATGGAAGCCAGAGCAAGCTCTCTACCACTGAGCGACACCTCCAGCCTTAGATGCATATATTGTAAGTAATTCTAAGAAACCCCATCATTATTTTTATTGTGCTTTACTAGAATGTTAAAAGGAACTGAGAGTCCAGAAGAGTAGGTTATTACAAAAAATATTCTCATTGGCCCTTAAGTCACTGAATTATTTATTTGGAAGCTCTAGTCTGAGCAAATTTCTATCAGAACAGAAGCAATTTCAGCTACTGAAATCTAAGCGACCTTTCCCTGTGGCAAAGAGCAGAAAAAAGCCCTCTTCAGTTTGAAAAGTTATTAAATAAATGCTATTGCCTTCGTAAAGCAAGATAAAAAGCTTACTAGTTCAAGTCAGAAACCCAGGGCTAAGGTTTCCAAGGCCCTTTTATTAGGGGAAGGTCCCCCAGATAGCACAAACTTCACTTATATATTGATTACAATCAAATTTGCTCCTAAAAATTAGGGGGATAAAAAGGGAAAACAAAACAGATGTGCTTTTATATATATCTTGAACACAAATTCAAAAGAATTTATAAAACATTCACCTTTCTTACAGAATAAATCCAGACTAAATTATGAATGCACCTCCAAGTTTGTTTTTGTTTCATTTTCTGATCATAAATAAAATTTGTTCTTAAACTTGGGATCCACCGTAGCCCAGCACAACTGAGTCATCACTGTGTTTTCTTCCTACTGTCGCTCCTGTGTGTGGTGTTGGGGTGGACTGGGGTCACCAGCTTTGCTGGCCCGTCATGTCCACTGTCTTTTCGAGGTGGCATCCGCTCATTAATTCGGTCTAGACCTCGGGCTTCTTCAAAACTCCGGATCTTGTGCTGCAGCGAAAATCCTTGGATGGCTAAGGAGAAACAGGAAGCGGGTGGGGAGCCCTCAGTTAGGAACTGGGTAGCAGCTCAGCAAAGTTACACACAGCCCCTCCCAGAGGAAACACAGGAGGGTGACCATGGGGCACATATCTGGTGTGGGAACAGGCAAGACACAGCTCAATCAGCCTTGTCTAAGACTACCGCTTCCTCCAAGAAAAAGGGCAGCTGAAACTGAAATTTTCATAAAAGCTCAATCATAGCAGAATTATTCTGACAAAAAGCTAGCAAGCTCTTACTTAGCCCCAGCTCAAGAAAGCAAACCAGAAATGTGCTCAATGCTAGGAAAAAAGGGTACTACTATGGTAACAACAAATTAAATGGTTTAATATATGTACTGGGCATTGAGCCCAAGGCCTTTGCTCTGAGATATATTTCAGCCAGTTCTTTTTTTTAATTTTGAGATAGGGGTTTCACTAAGTTGTTCAGTTTTCCAGACTGGGCTTAAGTCTGAGATGCCTGTAACTCAGCCTCCCAGAGTATAGGGATTACAGGCATATGCTACCATGCCTGGCTCAGAGTTTCTGCCTTACGCACAAATATTACATTGACCACAAAAGACAGCTTTTTGTTTGAGATGACTTTTTATCTTGCACAACTGGTAGCTGAACACAGGTAAAAACCATCAACATAGCATCTATATTTTCTTTCTGATTCAACTTAGACTGAACTTAGACTGTCAAAAAAAAAAAAAAAAAAAAAGGCATTCCTATTTTCAACTACCTTACCTAATAAAACAAATTTATAACAAGTTTCTCAGTTCCATTTTTTCCCCCCAGAATCAGGAATTGAACTCAGGCCTTTGTGCTTGCCAGGGAAGCGCTTATTCTACTGAGCTATCTCTCTGGCCCCTCCGGTGGTTTTTAATCACAAATTTAGATAGTGTTGCTTAAAAATGTCTCCATAGAAGCAATGATAATTTTGGTTGTCTTGGGGCAACCTCAAAAATCAATCAAATGATGGGCCAGGGAGATAGCTCAGTAGAACAAGCACTGGCCTGGCCAGCACAAGGTCCTGGGTTCAATCCCTGGTACCACCAAAAAAAACCAATCAAATGAAACCCTAGTTTATTTTTGCCTCTGTTCTCACTAACCTTGGATTCATTAGATAAAAGAGAGCTGCCCTGTCTGACCTTAGTCACAGGGATATCTTTTGTATGTGGAAGAGATGTGGGTTTAAGCCACTCCACGTTACACCAGGGTCACTTAAGCTTTAGTCGCTGTTCAAGCTCACAGATCCCACAAGGCTTAGCTGTAGTGAAGGTAATTTAAACAAAATGAAGACACAGAATGTATGAACATGTCTAGGAATATTTATCCCTTCTCACACTCATACAGTTCTGGTGATGCAGTAACAAACAATCTGAAATGCTGATAAAGCCTTTAAAAACTAGCAGACAGACACAGGAGCACATCTATCCAAGGAACATGGCGTACCTTCCTGGGCCTCTACCGCTTGCACTGTAGCTGTAAGAGGGCAGGAGCAGTGGCATGCAAAATGAAGACAGAGAAGAGTGAGTAAATCGGCAGCTCTGCTGCCAGTGCGGACACCCAGGACCCTCCTGCCCACCTCCCCGCACACCGAGAAAGCCCCCTAGTGAGAAAAACCAGATTACTTTGAGGAGCTAAGCAGTGTGGGGAACACAAGAAGGGAAAGTTTCACATATTTTTAGCATCTTACTGGCACTGGAACATTGTCCTCTTCATTTGAAACAGTGAACAGCTAACTTACGTCTTTTGTTTTGTTTCCAGTACCAGGGATCAAACTCAGGACCTTGCACTTGCCGCATAGGCGCTTATGCTGCTGAGCTATCTCCCCAGCTCTGTTTCTGTCTTTGAAATAGGGTCTCACTATAGTTCAGGCTGGTCTTGAACTCACAGCAATCCTCCTGCCTCAGCCCCCCCAAGTGTTGTGACTACAGGTATGTGCCACCATGCCCAGCTTTAGTTTATGTCTTGATACCACATATCCAAATTACTTATCAAATCAATTTTTTACAGTTCTAGGGAGTGAACCATGGAAATGCTCTACTATTCAGCTATACCTTTAGGGCACCCCCTCCTAACCTTTCCTTTTTTTTTTTTTTTTTTTCCGGGAATTGAACTCAAGACCTTGCATTTGCCAGGCAGGTGCTGTGCCACCGAGCTATATCCCCAGCTCTCTTTCCTTAAACTTCAAGACAAAGTCTTGTTAAGTTGTTCAGGCTGGCCTTGAACTTGTACTCCTTTTGCCTTAGCCTCTTGAATAGCTAAGATTACAGGAGTGTGACAGTGCAAATGAATTACTGCTGGACCCTATTTGAAAAACTTATTTACTATTACAACTTACTGCTCTCAAAGGACTTACGTGGGAGTGCACCATTCTTTTAATTACTTACTAAAAGAGAGTGGCCTTTGAATAACAGACTGGCATTTGGAAGAAGAAAAAATGTATTACAAGTGAAGGGCTACTTCTTGCCTGGAGGTGGACTACTAAGTAGCAAAGGCACAGGACACTTCTGTTCCATGGGAAATGCAAGTGCCCACACGGGGCAGGACATGCAAAGGCTGACACCTATAACTCACATGACTTCCACTCAGGTCAATGATCAAGAAAGCCCTCTTCCCTCTCCCTTAGTGATTAAAATGGAAAGAATTTATTTTTATTTTTAGTTTATTTTTTGTATTTTAGGGAAGGGTCTACAGGTGTTCAGGGTCTTACTACTAGATCGGACTCATAGTGATCCACCTGTTTACAGCCTCCCAAGAGCTGGGATTACAAGGGTGCACCACCAAGCCCAGTCTCAACTGCCATCTCAGCAAGCCCCGGGGGTGGGGTTGGCACAGCAGCCCCTGCACCTACTTGCAGGGGCTTTAATCTGCTGAGCTATTTGGCCGGCTGGAAAGAATTTAAAATTAGCATCAAGAGAAAGACTTTCTTACACCTTAACCCTAACATATGAAAAAGTGGTAACAAGAGTCTATCAGGAGAACCTCCTCAATCCCTCCAATAGCTCCTGTAAGTAAGTGAATGTGTCAGTTCTCCAGCCTGAATGTTGTTAAAGATGGCAGGGAAGGTAACACAGTAAGCAGCAGTTTCCTTTTTTGAGGGGTTACCTATCATTAGAAGAGAGATCGAAAAACTTTGATGCTGCCTTCTTTCGTTTTTTTTTTCCTTCCCACTACCAGAGATCAAATTTGGGACCTTGCATTTGCCAGGCAGGGACTTATATGCCACTGAGCTATCTCCCTAACCCCAATGCTGACTTCTAAATGAAATATGAAAGCACCAGCACTGGGCTCAATTTGCCAGGTGCGTACAAGGTCTTAAAGCACTGCCTAAATCCCTATATTCTCCTTACAGAAAACAAACTGCACAAGGAAACTGCAGCGTCTCTCACAGCACAACACTGACACAACTGCGGGAGAGCCAAGCTTGGCCCAAAATTGTATTCAGAGTACCATTCCAATTCGAGTTGAAAGCCCATGTGGTAAAATCTGTCCTGGTATTGCGCTGTCTTGGGCCATACTAGAACTGCTCATTTATTGGGTGCCGTGACAGCAGCATGCATTGAGGATCTTTAAAGAGACAGTTACATGAAACTTTTTTTCTTTAACATCCTTACTGAAAAACAATTCATATACCATAAAATTCACTTGCTTACAGTGCACACATGAATGGCTTCAACATATTTAGGATTATGTAACCATCATGATCTACGTTTAGAACATTTTCATCACCCCTAACCACTAGCAGTCACTTCCCATGTCCCTTTACCTCTTCCTCTTCATCCCAGTCAGCCACTAATGTATCTCCTATCTGTGGCTCTACCTGCTCTGAATATCTCATGTACATAGAATCATGTATTTAATGAATGACTTCTTTGACTTAGCATAATGTTTTGTTTTGGTTTTGGTAGTGGGAATCAAGCTCAGGACCTTGTGCTTGCCAGGCATGTGCTCTGCCGCTAAGCTATGTCCCTGGTCCTTGCACAAGGTTTTCAAGGCTCACTCAGGTTGTAGCATGGACTCATACCTCATTCCTTTCTATGGATGAATATTATTCCATTACACATATCGTGCTTTGTTCATCTAGTTGGTTGACACTTGGGTTTTAACCACTTTTTGGCTACATGAGCAGTGCCATTTATGAACATTCAGCACACGTTTTGGGGGACATATTTCATTTCTCTGGGGGTATAAGGAGCTAGGCCTTGAATTGTGGGCCATATGGTAACTCTGTTCATTTCTCTGAAGAACTGCCAGAATGTTTTCTCCAAAGAAGCCACACCATTTTACATTCCCACCAGCAGTGTATGAGGGAGCCAATTTCTCCACAATCTCATCAACATTTATTCCTTTTTTTCAGTGCTGGGGGTGAACCCAGAGCTTTGGGCATACTAGGCAAGTGACTACACCACCAGCCCTCAACAAGACATCTTATCTTTTTTTTTATCATGGCCTTCCTAGTGAATGTGAAGTGCTATCGCAGTATGGTTTTGCTCTGCATTTCTGGAATGTCTAATGATGTTAAACATCCCTTCATATTAAAAAAAAATCCCTTCATGGTCCACTTGTGAGTCTTTGGAAAAATGTCAATTCAAATTCTTTACCCATATTTAGTTGTGATGCCTTTTTTATTATTTAGTTTTAAGGGTTTTTTATCTTTTCTAGATAGGAGTCTCTTATTTTTACATAATTTAACACATTCTGTGGGTTGTCCTTTTATTTTCTTGATGGCTCCACCTGTAGTATAACAGTTTTAATTTCCTTTTGTTTTCTCTCTCTCTCTCTCTCTCTCTCTCTCTCTCTCT